AAATTCGTATCAAAATTAATTGAAATATCGTGTCTAGCGACAATCTCTCGGCCAATAGGGAAACAGCCAAGTCATTAACAACGTTCTACTAACTACACAGTGGATGCGAACGGAGCAATTAAAAGAAATCACGTTCACACTCTGCAGTCCCGTTTTTTGCTCGCGCTCTTAATTATTGCGCGTGTGTGTGTGTGTGTGTGTGTGTGCGTGCGTGTGTCTGTGTGAGCTGTGCCTACAAAGGTCTGTTGGCAACGTCAAAGCAAACGAACACGCGAGTCAACAATCGACAAACCCACATAACGAGCGTATTATTCGCGTTTCAGCGGGCGGATTGCGATATTGCTATAAAAAGAGAAAGCGGTGGAGAAGGAAGAGAGAAGCGAGGCCAAAACAAAAAGACCGAAAGGCGAAAAGTCGAACTCTGGTGTCTTTCGTTCCTTTTTTTTCTTCTCCTTTCCTTTTTTTTTCTCTCTTTCTTTCTTTCTCACACCAAAAAATCGAGGCTTAAAGCACGTTACTTTCGCCTAATTTTCCACGAGCGTTTCGTAAACTGTTCCGCGGAACTCTTCCACGCGGCAAAGCAACGTTTCGATGCCGACGGGGAAAAAGAGAACACCGCGTGCCAAGCGCGTTTCCATGGAGTTCTCGTTACCGGCGAGCCCTCGTTTTTTAATTCGAAATTATCCCCCGAACCGAAACCACGAAATGAATTTAATTCGCGTTTTGTTTTTTGTTTTTTGTTTTTTGTTTCTTTCTTTCGAGAAAACCGACGCAAGGAAGAATAAATTTACGTTGGAGCATGATTTATCGATACTTTTCTTTCTTTCTTTCTTTCTTTTTTTTTTTTCTTTCTTTTCTCGATCGAGCGATTATGAAAATGACGATCGAGAGAGCGCGAGAGCGTTTCATAAAGCGGGAAACTTGATTAATCGCGATAGTTTATTTTTGTTTTTTTGTTTTTTTTCTGCGCTTGTCGCAAAGTATCGCGTAATTGTTAATTCTCCGTAACGTATCGCCTGCGAGAGAGACGATCGATCAAACTTGCCCGCTGCTGCGCTCGTACGTCACCGGCCGGAATATCTTAATACTTTCAACCGTGATACATCAAACGTTAGTTTTTCCGCATCGTTTAGTTCCAATTTCCACGCTGTGCTTCCCAGATGCGTTTTATATACACCGTCCACGCGACTTTTATCCGAATGTTTGCCGTTATTTCGTACGTAGATGGACGAAAAGTATTCGCACACTCGACGAAAAAATTGTCTATTGAAAAATTGTAAACTGTCGGAACGTTTCATAAAAGAAACAATCCTACGATCATCCATTAAATTAAAATGTGAAGAATAACTATTTTAGAGCTAGGTTTTACATCGTGCAGCAAATGACGAAACATGGATATTTCTCGAAACATTTTATAAATTATAAAAATTCCTGATAATGTCCCTGATAATACCAAAAACTGTTTTCAAATCTTTCAGAGGTCTCCTCTTTGTAACGATCTCACAAAACTTGCCGTACGATTTCTTTCTCCGCCACTTTATCGAACTTCGAACATTAGGGTCATATGGAAAAATGTTGGGATTTTTTGAATTTTCAATCTTCGGGGATTGTAAGTAGATCTTAGTAGTCACGAAAGAAATTTTTCAGATTCTTACAATTCAAATTTTTACAATTTCTCACTTTCGTTCGCTTCTGTACGTTCCACGCTCGTCGACACATTGAATGTTGAAACATCTCAGTTTCAATTTACTCTTCATTTTCTTATCTATTTTCTTCTTCTTTTTTTTTCTTTTTTTTTTTTTTTTTTTTGTTCCAAAGATCATTTGATCTTTTGCTCGGAAAACCTATATATATATAAGCTTCGAAATATGTAAGTTCGACGAAACAAAAAGAAAATCCGCCACGAGACACGAGATATTGTTTCCTCGGTTGATCTTTCATACAGAAAGAATCCTTCTTGCTCGCCGCGCCACGAAGTTGCTCTCTTATTTATCTTTGCTTTTAATTTCGAGACAGCAGTTTACCCCTTTCGCGGTTTGTCACGGTAAGTTATTTCAGAACTGGGACAGGATATTTCGAAAATCAAGAAGCATCTCGAAGATAAAAAGAACGAAAGAAAATAAGAGATAGGAAAGGTCCGTGGAAAAACTTCGGCACGCCCGTTTCCGGGTAGCAGCCGGTTTTATACTTGGCGAGATATCGATCTATTTTCGAGGATGGTAGAAACGATGGAAGAAAATACAGCTACTCAAGCTCTAGCGTTTGACAATCTTAACTTTATATTCCATTCTAAGCTAGAAGCTGAACGCGAGACTGACAGTGCAACACGAGACTTTGAAAACTGAGATTTTCCTACTCTCTTCTTTGCTGTTTTAAATTCGAAAGAATTTCGAAAGTTAGAATTTAACGCGTTGACTTGTCCCCACGTTTCTGTTGCTATTATAATATAAAATATTTTAAAACGATCAAAATAAGACGGATTTTCAAACAACTCACACAAACGCAACTTAATAATAATATTGCGAAACGAGAAATATTATTGCGGTCTTGCAATTTCTCAAAAACTTGAACGTGCAAATTTTGCGTGACAGTCAGCGCGAATCATGAATTTATAATAATCAGAAAAAGAGAAAACTTGAATTTGAATGCAATCCTGTAACCCAATTTCTACCATATTTGGCAAGATTATTGTTAACACTAGAACTACCGGCGAGCAAAGTGTAAACATTGTATAAAAAAAAAATCAGAGTGAAAGAAATAGGAAAAAGTTCGCAGCACAACAAAGAATGTAACTTTGCAAAAATCCTTTAAACTCGTAAAACTGCAACACTGCAAAAGCGATATTCTATTAAATATTAATCGTTTTGGCCATCAATTTCGTTTATTCTAGTATTAAAAACTTCGATCTCGATCTTGGTCTCAAATCGAACGTAAAATCCGCAGAGCAATGCGTCCTCTTTCGCAAATATTGCTTCGCACAATATTGTTTCTTCTACGTTTACGTTTTCGTCGTTGTATTTCGTGTTATTTTACTTTGTTTGTTGTTCTTTTTTTTCCTTATTTTATGTACCTTTCCTCTCCTCACTGAACTATTCCCGGTCAATGAACAAGTAAATAAATTAACAAATCTCGTCAAATCGAAATTTAGAAGATTTACGACATCGGTTTGCTCCTCGAGAGCAGAATCCTCTGAAAGTGCAGAAATTTTATTCCACGCTCTGTGAAGGGGGGAAGGGGACTTATTTTTTTCGCATCGCTTCTTGTCCGATTGTATCATCAACGTGCTGCCGTAACGCGAGATAGAAAGAACGGATTACGTTCGATACGCGGAACAAGTCGGCCGTAATGAATCCGCAGTAGTTGCGCGCGTTTTAAGTCAGACACTCCGTAATATTCCTCCGCGGACGGAGGAACGGTTTAAACGAAAGTTACGGTACAATCGAGTAGGTGTGCGCTGGATGGTCGTGAGTTATTACCGGGCTTGTTCCAGGCCAAGCGGATCACCAATTCGAGCCTCGAGCCGGGGCACTCCCGGTGTCCGCATTGTTCGAAAATTTCGCAGAAATTATAATAAAAATATGCCGGACATCGGCGGGGCGTTCGAGCGCCGTTCATAAATCCAATAGATACGAATTCTCGCGAAAACTGTATATTCGTCAAGCTCGCGCTTCCCGGAGTAATTAATTCTTTCGATATTTTGCATCTCGGGCAGGGAATTTTTTTTTAATTAATTACCGAGCAAAACTGTATTTTTTGATGAAGAAACTAAAATCGAGTACTGAGATCTTCGGAAAACAAAACCGGCATTGTTTCACCGTGAAAAGCTATATCATTGTTATTAAAAATAACTTCACCACGAACGATAAATATAAATGCACACGATCGTGTGAAATTGAAACGGTTTCATTGAAGTCAATGAGTCGAACGAAACGTTCGTTCAGTTGGGCACTTAAAATCTTCCCTTCAATTCCTTCGTTGAATTTCCAGAGGTAACTCTGAACGCGGTTCAAAGACAAGTCGATCCCCCAAAGGGCAAAGTTTCATCAAATTAAACTTTCGTCCAGAAAAGTTGCCGCATAGACAATGAAGTCACTTATGCCGGCTGTGAAAGAGAAATCTGCATGTAAATCACCCTGACATTCCTACTTAAACATCCATTGAAGTTAACGGCAACGAGACAGTTATAGCTACGAACTTTCTTCAGCCTCGTTCAATACCTTGCTGTATTTTAGAATTCAATCTCTTCACAATTTTCATTGTCAAGAAGCCTATAGAAAGAAGTTTTCTTTTACTGACAGGACTCTGGAACCACCTCGACCGATTATTGACCGACCATACGTATTATCAAATTCTAAAACCTTTCTATGTTTGACCATTCAGTGGTCTGTCTAGTTGCATCCTTATCTACTGTTGCACAGTATTTTGCGAAAATTTTGCGAATTATACGGAAGGTAACGCAGTTTCTTATCATCATGGAATAAGCGAGATGATAGCACAGATGAGGTGTAGAAATAAACAAAACATCTTATGGGATTTCGTGTCCCATGCTCTGAAATACCGACTATATAATAAAAAAATCACAAATTTTCTACGCACTGTATTATATATTGTTTTAGCATATCCCTACCAAGTATTTAAAGAGTGAAACGAAAGTTTCAACAATAAATGAAAGTAAATTTATCCCGAATCAATTAAACAGTCAAATATTTTAATTGTCAATCAGAAATCGCTAGACTACTGATTCATTTCATTAATCAAATAAACCAATGTAACTGTAAACATTTCCTAGAATGCGAATGTCTTCTACAAATTTATATTTTTCTAAAATAGAATTAGAGAAATAGAATTTAAGCAGAAATTTATTTCAGTCATATATAATGAGCATTCTGTTTTGGATATTTCTATAGAATTTCCTATATTTAATGCATTCTACGTACAATCTTCTCTGACTGACGTCAAAAAGATTTGTGAAATAAATTTAATAAGATGTATTTAATTACCATTAGGCAGGATCCAGACATTATCCTTAAATTCCACAATCCTTGTTATTCCATCTTTTATCCGTCCACATGGATCCATTGATAAATCTGTAACACACTTATTTGTTGGATTAGTAGTTTAAAAAATTTAACAAAGAAATTCCACACCACTAAAACAATCCCGACATTTGGAAAAAAAAGCAAATAGCCAGAAGGGCTAGACTACTGAAAAGGAAACAATAACCAGAAGGGCTATTGTACAATTATCTACATTATGAACCCGAGCAACAAACCGTATCCTGTTTCGCAACAGTAATTTACTAACGTTAATTATGAAATAGAAAGTTTTCAAAATCAAACGCGAAGAGTGCTACGTCATGTTTAAAACTCCCGTAAGTAAGTACGCAACGTTATTAATCTATGCACTCATGTTTAAAAATGCGCAACACTAATTGCAACGCGTCCAATGCAACCATGCTGGAAATTTCTGATGATAGTAACAGCTCTTGTAGCTGCATCAGATGTTCCAGGAGCAGGAACAACCTTCCACGAATTCAGTGGAAGAACTTGGGCATTTTGTAAACGCAACGCTACTTCGAAAAACGCGATCATTCATTATCGCAACACTAACAAAAAAAAAAGTAATTGGAAACCGCGATGGAACAATGTCTCAATACTAAAAGTAACTGGAAATCGCGATGAAATAATGTCGCAACACTAACTCTAAAAATTCGATGAAAATAATTATTAACAATACAAAAGCTACTGCCTCAAATAACATTCTAACATTCTAAAATTAGTTAAAAGCGACACTCTAATCTAATAATTTGAAACAAGAGGAAGCAAGAAACTTTTACAATGTATGACATTAAGACTAACTATAAAAATTCACAATTAAAATTGCAAACGACAATCGCGGTATCATAATTCGCAACTCGAAAAAGCAAACACGATTATCATTTCTTCGCAATTCAAACCGTAATCAATGTCTCGCAACACTAACAAACAGACACGAAACTATTTCGCAACTCTAATTCAACCCGTAATTTTTCGCAACACTAACACGAAAACTCGCGTTTTGTCCAAAACGATGATGAACGATGATGAAGAAGAAAAAAAGAATACAACTACAAATACTAAAGGAGCATAGTGACAAAGTAGTAACGAGAATGACTTCCCATGATCTGGAATCATTTAAATGACCCAGAGGATGAGAAACCATTTGTTGTGACCCTCTTCGTGGCAGTTTGCCGGGCCTCTTCGGCTTTTAGCCTTTTCTTTCTTCGAGCGCAATGCCCGCTGAAACTTACATTTAGCTCGAGTCTTTCTAATCGCAAACCAAAAAATAACTTATAAAGGTGAAATGAAAAGATAAACCGCGGAAGCTGACCCCAATACACATGGACGACCATCGATCATAGTGATCGTTGTCCGTTCGCACGTGCGTGCTCGAGCAATACCTATATAAACGTTCGTTTCGAGACCTACTCGCGACCTACCCACGACCGCGACCGCGACTCTAAATTCGAAAAATCGAAGAGTAAAACCAGAAACAAATGGCATGCTCAATTTGTATCAATTTCACTGTCGATTTTTCAAATTAGATTTCCTGAAACAGGTTGGACACGCGAAAAAGGGACACGCGACCAGAGACTGTGCCAACCTGCCCGGCCCTACCTACTTATAATTAAACACATTCATACCAGAAAGTATGCTACCTATCCTATTCAGGGGCCCTATATTTAAAAGATGACAAAAGAACAGGCACACCAACACACTCACTCCACGGTTCTCTCACATACCACTCGGGCGCAGAGACCTAAACTAGAGAGGACGTCCCGGGACGCCTCCGACACCCGAGCTTAACACACAACTTTNCACACTCTAGTTTACGTACCATTTTCCTGAAATCGACTGACAATAGCTAGCGACCATTGCGTAAGACTTGATTTAAACACGTTTATATTTACAACTAATATTAATAACTGAGAAAAAATACATATAATTTCTTTAGAAATTACACGTGCAAGTTGACTTGGAATCATTATTATAATTGATAGTATAGTTATAGTAATAATAATGTGATTATATTTATCAGGCATTATGATAATAATTTCATAATTTTTCATAATTTTTTATTTCATAATGTAATTATATTTATCAGGTATTATGATAATTTCATAATTTTTTAAATTAGTGCATAAATATTTTAAATATTTCAACTTATAATGAATGCAACAATAGAAACGACGCAATTCCACATCCTAACCACACACATACATGCGGAAAATACATCGTGCACGATACGCTAACACACTGTCAGTCGCTGAGAAATTATTTATAAAATTACAAACTATAGTCATCGTGCCCAATGTCTTTCACCTACCCAAGTAGCACCTGGGCACGTGAGTAAGATTCTGACAATGAACACGGAAGGGGTTAAACCTGAAAATCCTGAACTAAAAAAATGATTAGTTTATGCAATTTGTATCTAACGGACTATTGCATTATTTTGTTTCAAACTGTAATAACTCTACTCTTTTAGACATTATTAAAATTGCAAGAGAATAAAGACAATGAACAAGACTTGAATTTGTTAAAAAAGAATTACGAACAGTTTAATAATTGACTAAAACAATTGATTCCAAATTATATATTAAATATAAAAATAGAAATAATCTCAGGCGACTTCTTCATCAAAGCACATTTTTAAAAATGCGAAAGCAGTCAAACTTGTTGCTTTGATTCAAAAATCTACCTGTCGCGAAATATCTTCTTGCACTAAAATTTCATACATTTTTTTGCGAAAAAAATTTTAATCTATTATATTTTAAATTCTACAGAAGTTCATAACTATATATAATTATATATAATACTATTATAAAAGGGAAAATGAAATTGAAAATTATCAATTATTAATTATTATAACAAAATATATCACCAATATAAGTAATAACTGCATCGGAGGATATCCGTCTTCTCTACTATGGAATGCTTAAATGGAATAATTTTAATAATGATTATTTATAAGTATTTATAATTTATCTATATGAATAGATAAATTACATATTTTATCTTTGCAAATATTTATATTGAAGATATTTTGATTTTATAAGTAATTACTACATTATTTTAATTGTTAAAATCGCGATATGCAAGAAGCCCTATCCTGATCTAATACATAAAGAACCTGAAAAATATGTTCCTACTCACGGGTACAAAAAATACCCGCGGTCACTATGCTCATCAAAAATTCTACGTATACAACCAGTCACCCGTGCCGATTCGGACCTTTCGTCCTACGACATGATTGAGTGACCAGAGGAACATAAATGCATGCGACTCACACGATAGATGTGAAGAACATCATCATCGATGCTGCACTGGACCAAGAAAAGTTATCGTGAAGATCCTCATCAAGTAGATACCACTGAGAATCCTATGGTGGAAGTGAACGCCGTGAAAAATTTCTTTAAAAAAATAAAACATATTATTTCTAAAGACACAGTGTTATTTGTGAAAATTTAAATTTTAATAATGATAAAAATTGGCACAATAATTTGAAGTATTTTTATTTTATAGTTATAATTTTACATTCGACTTTAATAGAAAGAGAACTATAGAGAGAAAATAGAATTATTTCAAGTACAATATGCTAAAGTACTTACATTCTTAGCTTTTGATGCATCATAAGATTTTTGAAGGATTAGGGGAAGTGGAGACTGTAAAAGATCTGTAACAAAACATTAAACATCAGAATTTGTATTTAAAAGTAAAGCAAAATTAGTTGGAGATAATGAAAGATTCTTACATTCTTGGCTTTAGAGCCACCGTTGGATATTCCCCAAAAGAATTAATGCTGATGCGTCTGTAACAAAACATAAAACATTATATGTAACTTTATTGTTAAATTTGAAAAATTAAATAAATTGAGATATATAAAACTACTTACGATCTTGATTTTCTGGAGAGGCCTTATCCTCTTGAGCACTGACTCTAATGTACCGAAAACGAATGTTGAATAAAAAAAAACATAAAAAAAGATAAATAAAAGACTATCAATTGGCGGACTCACTGACTCTAACTTCGCGAATTATAATTTAAATGAATTAATGATTAAATTTAACAAGAGCAATTTTGCTCAGAAAAGTATAAAAACATTTCGTAACAAACATTGACTCTACCAACCGCATTGCGCGCGGTCACAAAAATTTTCTGAAAATAAAGTTGATTAGTAGGGAGAGAGAGAGGGGGGGAGTACGTTTATTTAGAAAATACTGCTATTTTTCTAAAAAATGATAATAAAGAAAGTTGGATATATATTAAAGATATTGTAAATTATAAAGTATTTCTCAATACTGAATACTGTAAATGAAAGACAACTATTTGCAGAAATTGTATTCTGAATATTCGTTATTAGACGAGAAAGTATGCACATTAATAATATATCACATCGCATATAAATATTCGAAAATGTTTGGGCAAAAAAAGAATATTACGAAAAACGCGTGAAGTCTTGCTTCAAATCAAGTAAAGTATAGTATAGTAAACTTCAAAGTATAGCATTAAATTACTCTGTTCGAAACAAAATATTAACTGATTTAATCTTTTCTATTTTCATTCTTGTATCCCAAATAATTACGAAATTACATATTGTCAATTTTATATCAAATATATATATTTATATATATAAATTGTATACCAAATGTTATCCAAATGAATAAAATGTTGCCAACTTTCCATCAAAATTCATCAGATTGTCCATTAATAATCACATGGCGTCTGTGTGTTCTATCCTTTTTCTGGAATCACGAAATACCCTACAAAAGAAACTGAAAGTCAGAACGAAATGTGCTAAACGAAAGCAGATATAAAAATGAAACGATAATCAACTTCAAATTCTATTAAAGAAACATACGAGACAAGCTACCGGTAACCGTACGAATGAAATCGACGACTGAAGTGAAAACACAATCTGCACATAAAGTTTCAAAGCATTACACGATTTCGTTATCGTAATGCTCACCGAATCGTTAAACACACACGTATTAATTAAATGATGTTATTAATGAGGTATAAATGAAAGCAAAAGAGTGTCGAGAAAGCGACGCCATCAAAGAGACGCTACCGATAGGTTAGAAATATTACGAGCCTAATGCGACGTAACACGTATTGTTGTCACGAAATTCGACGACCGAATGACCGCGACACGTCTCGTCTCGCAGTTGGGAAAATAGTAGGGGATGGGGCGATCCTATCTAAACAGGCACGATATTAAGACGAATATATACATTGTGTTTACTTTTTGCGACAAGTCATGTTCAGTCGAAAGTGTTTATTGGTTATGCCAAAGAAACAGGTGCACATGAAGAACCTTATACACACACAAACGTTGTGTTTATGTTGAACTAAAGAATAAAGTTAAAGAATCAGCAAATAAATAGAAAATGGAAGTGTGTGTGTAAAAGCATATAATAAAATATGTGTGTGTGTGTGTGTGTGTGTGTACATATATAACAGTAAGTTAGTCAATTACAAGGTGAGAATATTTGTACTGATTAGAATTGAAATTAAATTTTAATATAAAATTATAAATAATTTTAACATGATATATTCTGTTTAAATGTTTATATGCTATTATTTCTTTAACTGTTGAAAATTATATGTAATAATCATTGGTTAAAGCTTACCTTGAATTGAAGGTAAAAATGCAAAAATGCACATATTATATTAACAATTGATAACAGACACACAGATCTAACAACTATTGATTTAAATTTTTAATTAAGAACTTCTGGGTGACACTTTCAGGATGATTTTTCTGGACAATACTTCCTTCTTTACAGGTGAGGTGTGCTACTCTCTCCGCCATTTTTAACCGCCAATTTCCAGTTGGAGATCGATCGTGAGACATATCGATTATTTCGAGAATCATAGGAAGTATATTGCGTACTTCACCGTTGGGGCGTTGTAATCGCTTGTTTCACACGAAATGATAACTTGAAATAAAAAATAAAAAACTCTGATCTAAATACTTAAGAAATACTTAAGAAATGAAATATTTTAAAATAAACGAGAATATTCACACACCTGATGAAAAATTGTCAATACTTTAAACTGGGACATGAGAAATTTTATTATATTACAATAGAACTATTATTTAGGTTGATAAATAGGTTATTTAGGTTAATAAATAAGTACATCCTTACTAAATTATTGAATTTATTATTGGAATTGTTAAGAATTACGCAATATGAGGTTAAAGAATCAACAAATGAATAGAAAATGTTACAATAGAAATAAAAGCATATCATATATATGTATATAATATATGTATATAATAAAAAGTTTATCATAATACGAGATCACAATATTTGCTAATTAGAATTGACATTAAATTTTAATATAAAATTATAAATAACTTTTATCGTAGTATGTTCTGTTCAAATGTTTATATGCTATTATTTCTTTAATTGTTGATGTGTAATAATTATTTAGTTAAATCTTACCTTGAATTAAAGCCACAAATGCACGTTTTATATTAAAAATTAATAACATAAATACAAATTTAACAAGTATTAATTTAAATTTTTACCTAAGAACTTCTGGGTGACACTTTCAGGATGATTTTTCTGGACAGTACTTCCTTCTTTACAGGTGAGGTGTGCTACTCTCTCCGCCATTTTTAAGCGCCACTTTCTAGTTAAAGATCGATCATGAGACATATCGATTATTTCGAGAATCGTAGGAAGTGTATTCCGTATTTCGCCGCACATTGGCGCTGTAATCTTTAACTAATTTAAACCCAATACGCGCACATTTCGTAAGAAATATTGACTTGGAATAAAAAATAAAAAACTCTGATCTAAATCAAATATACAAAATTTATGAGAAATTCTTAAAAAAGAACGAACATATTCATACACTAGATGAAAAATTATCAATATTTTAAACTGCTATAATTTCATGAAAAAAAATTATAGCACAATTAACTTGATTGATGAACTTTGATTGAAAAAGTCTCCACTTTAACAATCTTGACTTTATTTTATTCAAAGATATTACCTAAACAGTCAATTATATAATAAATCTGTTCTCCAATATGTTTAGATCTATATAAACAGATCTAATATTCTAATACGATGTACCTTCCCGCTACACCATATTATCTCTCAAATTATTGTTTTGGTATTGTCGAAGCTTTGAAACATGCAAACCTCAACGTCTTGTTAATTTTCCGAGCTCACTGTAAGTGCATACATGTGTATTTGCTGCCGACAAGTTTCCATTTGTAGAACTGCAAGTCCCATTATATAGAGGAATCCCCTCTTCCAGCTCTCGAGTACCGTTATCATGTACTCGACGATAAATGTTCTCGAATCACTCTTCAACAGCGACCTTGTTTGAGATCAAGCCACAAACATTCACGCAGTTTATATTAATAGCCTGTACACTGTTAACGCGTCATTCATTTCTAATTCATAACTGCTCACTCACGTTTCTTTCCTACTTACTAGTAAAACAAAAATTTCCATCTTTGTAACCAGTGTTCTTTTCTTGTCTCCTCTATTGTTCTGGTTGTTTCTTTCTATCTTTTAGTCTCGTTGTTTTTATTTTTGACAGTCGACGGGATCAAAAACATTTTACGTTCAACATCAATCGTCGGACGAAATCAAACTGCCAAGAAAATGCTGAAAAATAAAGGTACAGTTGTGGAATTATTCTGTTTAATAGGTGTCGTGGTGTTTGGAACGTATGTAAGAAAGTACGTAGGGAAATTTTATGAATATATATTGTGTAAATGGATTTTTTTTTAAACTTTATTAACACTAGTGAGACAGAATTGCAATTATATTGCAATTTGGAACCAATCTGAAAATACATATAAAAATTGCAAAATATTTTTTGCATGAATATCTACTGTCTTGAACGTACAATTAGTACGTTTAAATAATTATAAATATTATTATTATTAAGTTTATTAATATAATGGATAATGTCAGCATTACGTGAAGTAAATATTTACAATAAATATCTTATATCTTCTATGCACTTCCAGATTGATTTCCAATACAAATTTGTATAAGAGAAAATATATTTAAAAAATATATCACAAAAAAACAGAGATTATATTTAAAATCGTAACTAATAAATCATTTAATTTCAAGTAAATTTATTTGACCTTCGCATAAAATATCGCGTGAAACTGCACTGTTTTACAAAATAGATTGTTTTTCAAACAAGTTCAAAGAGTAATTTTTAAAAAATATTTTGCAATATTTCTTGAAACGTACAATTCTAATTATAATACACTAGCATCAATTTAGCGAACAATATTGTGTTATTTAGGTTACACAAGTTGCAGTGGACCTGGCTATAAATCACCAAAAGCAGCGATACTCGAGGGTCCACGTGAGAAACTCATGTATGTCGTCTCTATTCATACGAATGAAAATAAATCCGACGTCCTGTGTACTGTCGACGTAGATCCGGATAGTACCGACTATTGTAAGGTACAATACATTTTATTATATAGAGTTTCATTATAGTGAAACTATCCATAATAGTTTCATACCGCGAATATATTACAAATATATCTAGGCACTTTAGTCAATTTGTACCGATATTTAAATAATATAATTAAAATATAAATAATAATATCGTATATTATTGTATGATGAAGTTAAAAGATAAATTTAAGAAAGTGGATCACCTCAAGTTGTCCAAAATCAGATAATGTTTGCAAACCTTTTTCATGGATAATCGTTAAATGAAAAGTTACAATTTTTTTGAAATATATAAATGACAGCTTTATATTTCAATTTCTTTTTTTTGTGTGTGAAAATATTATAAGATGACAAAATTGTTCACTAATTTCGAAACCTCGTTTCGATAAAGATTTAATTAGATAACAAAATAAAATAGAATACAGAAAAACGTAGATTTAACTTGCAGAATATATCATGAAATCAATAAAATTGTTTAAATAGTGACATTATATTAAGAAATAGATCATGATTCATATCACTTTCTTAAATTTATCTGATCTATATCACTTTCTTAAATTTATCTATATCAATTTCAAACACTGTTGCTCAATGTAATCATGATAAAATAGATAAATTTAGAAAAGCTTTAGGACTTGTGTTTTGGGGACTGTATAATAATAATCTATAATTACATAACTTTCCTTTTTAATTTATAACCTGTGTCGTAAATGTCGTTAAAAAGTTCTACCATATCTCGTGTTAGCCGCCTATGTATCTATTATATATTTATTATGTCATAGTTATCATGTTGTGGCTTGCTAAAAATGAGTCATGATAATTCTTTACTAGTATCACAACAATGTTAAAAGGATATCTCGCCAAACTTTTGCAAAACATTATAATCTTTCAACGTGCAAAAGATCATCATACGTATATTTTTCTTTTTTTCAATCTTTCCAAAAAAAAAAAAAAAAACACAGAATTCTTATAGAACTAAATCTCGTTCACACCAAATACTTATGTTTCGTAGATCATTCACAAATTGCGAATGCCCCATATCGGCGACGAATTGCACCATTCTGGTTGGAATATCTGTAGTAGTTGCCACAATGTACCACGAAAACGAGACACTCTGGTGCTTCCTTGTCTCATGTCTGATCGTGTCTACTTCATCGATACATCCAACGAACGGGCTCCATCAATCAAAAAGGTAGAAAATTATCTTTGTAATTCATAAAATTTCTGTCTCTCAAAGCGTTGAAAGCAAAAGTCTTTCCGCGTTTCCACGTTCTTTTGAAACATTTTGACTGAATTATTTTGAGTTCTGAAATACCTTTAGATATTATAGTTTTGAAATACCGATAGATATTATCTGTGCTCTTCTTCTTGACAAGGTACTGAGCCCAGCAGATGTACATCGACACGGGGTATCGACGTTGCACACAAGTCATTGCGCGCCAACCGGAGAAATTTTAATTTCTTCCATGGGTAAACCAAACGGAGACGCCCTTGGTGAATTTCTTCGTGTCGATTCCGAGACGCTCGAAGCGAAAGGCACATGGACCGTAGGAGAAAGGAAAGCAGCGTTTGGATACGATTTTTGGTATCAACCATATCACGATACGCTTGTCGCGACCGAATGGAGTGTACCTAGGATTTTTAAACGAGGCTACACTGCCACTGACAGCACCGATCCTGGTTAGCTGCTATTTTGCACGCTTTTTCTTTTCTCGTTTTCACGTCGAACAACTTTTCTGTTGATTTTCAAGCTATTACTACTTCTATTTTCAATATTTTGTAGATAACTGATAAATGGAATCGACTAGAAATCGATCAGATCGGCTCAGTTTAACTATTTCAGTTTTGCACAAATTCGATCAACATCGTCGTCTCGAACACTTTGAGATAATCGATATCTTTCTCTTCCACAGTGCTTTATGGCAGGAGCCTGAATTTTTATTCGTGGAACGAAAGAAAATTGAAGCAAGTTGTGAACCTGGGCGACGACGGGATCGCGCCACTCGAAGTGCGATTTCTTCATGATCCAAAGGCCAGCGTCGGATTCGTTGGATGCGCGGTTACTTCAAATGTGTATAAATTTTACAAAACGTCGAACGGCGATTGGGCTGTAAAGAAAGTGATTCAAGTTCCTCCGAAGGAAGTGGAAGGGTGGATCGCCCCACAGATGGCAGGTACATTTATTAATTGTTACAGTTATTTATAATTAAACTGCAGTTGAACAATTTTTGTTTAAAAAAAAAAAGAATTTATACTAAACGATTGAAGAAATGAAATTTAATATTTTACCTACAATCCGTTACTTTCGTGCGTAGGAATGATAACGGACATATTGATCAGCCTCGACGACAAGTATCTCTATCTATCAAACTGGCTTCATGGTGATATTAGACAATATGATATTTCCGACACGGATAATCCAAAGTTAATCGGTCAAGTATTTCTCGGTGGCTCGATTTTAAGTGACTCGAACGTTCGTGTAACTCGAGATGAGGAACTGAGCAGCCAACCGGATCCAGTTCATGTCAAAGGCCGAAGACTTCATGGATCTCCGCAGATGCTTCAATTGAGTCTCGATGGAAAACGTTTATACGTGACCACTTCCATCTTTAAACCGTGGGATCAACAGTTCTATCCCGAACATGTCAAGTACGCGCTTTCGTTTCGCCTCTTTCAATTGTTTCTGATCAGCTTCGAATGCTTTCACGAGTCGTTGCATGTTTTCTACGTCATGTAATGTATGTTTGTACGATTCTAGAAATGGTTCAACCATGGTCAAGTTAGACATTGATGTTCAAAATGGGGGCATGAAACTTGACCAACAATTCTTGGTGGATTTCGGCGCAGACAAAAATGACATTTTACTTGCGCATGAAATGCGGTTTGTATTGTCGTATCTCCTGTGTTCTGATAAAACTTCGAGATGATAATTATGATTTTCTCCTTTCAGTTATCCGGGAGGTGACTGTACATCGGACATATGGCTGGCGGAAGACTAATCTACTCGCTGATCAATAATATATTTCTTCTTATTGAAATAAAAAATGATATATTTTAATTGTTGAAAATACTGAGAGGAAGTATAAAGAGAAAAATACATCCGAATAATACTTCACGGCAAATATGTCGTAAACGTGGATAATAATTTCTTTCTTTCTGCTTCTTCAATGCTTCCGTTCTATTTCCATCCTCCGTTTCCGCGTTTACGTATAATTCCAAATGACAGAGGAGACTTTTCTTGTTACACCAGTGAAAATTTTGTAATTTCGAATGGTTGCGGATTATCGTCAAATCGAAACAAACAAACAAAAATTGGAATTTTCTTATTCCATGTAAGAAATTTTCATTCACAGCTGAACTCGCTGAAAACACATGTCAAAGATAATTTAAAAATAGACAGACTAGCGATAAGGAAACGACATGTTCACAAACTACGAAGTGTAACTTGTATTTACATTTGCTCGAAGGGAATATATAAAAAGAAGCATCCCACGACGCAATCCGATGATGAATGAGTCCAGTCCAATCCTTTTTTTTTTTTTTTTATCCCATCACCGAGGATACTTTTTATTTGTAAAAAATATAATAATATAATGCTGACGCTGCTGGCAGTAGCGATATTTTCAACGATGGTAGTGGTGCTGACAACGACGAGAAACGGTACAGTAACAGTAACGATTATACAACAATGATGTTTCATATTATCGCAATGGTAATTATCATTTATCTTAAATATAATGATAAACACGATAAATGAATGCAACAATATAACATGTATAATATATATATATATGTGTGTATGTGTATATATATATATATATATATATATATATATATAATGACGAAAACGTGTCAGTATTTTGACACTAATGCGAGCCATGTTCTTTTTAAATGATAACATAGTAATAACAATATAAAAAGAATATTAATAAAAAAAGATTGTATAGTCCGATAAATTGGCAACGAATATATGATATTTAATCTAGATAAAGTAGGGAGCGGGAGAAATTCGTGGTGAATTTCGATTGTCTCGAAGAATTCGGTGCTTCTCGCGTGTCTTCATTGTCGTTCAAGACGACCATATTGATCAAGTTTGCGCGAAACTGAACAATTAACTCACAGCGGTTCAGTAATAATAATAAACCTGATCGATTTCTGTTCAATTCAACCGAAAAGACAAATAGATCTCGATAAGTGCAATACGTCGTTTCTCCCGTTTGTCTTCTTACACGTTTCACGATCTTCATAAACGTCGTTGATAATTATATCGGACACGGCGCGTCTCGCTAACTCCGAACAATCTTGAAATAAATTAATAAAGCCAACATTTTGAATTCGAATCAATTCGACCTCAATTTCAGAGACACATTTAAACATAGGTGAATGCTCGACAATTATTCCCAGAATATTCACCTCGACGACGTGAATGTTTCTCAAGATCATTTGAAATCCGCGAGATGCGCCATACTATGTGCGTATAATTACCACATGATTTCCGACAATGTACGTAAGTATGTATGTGTTTATGTGTATGAACGAGGCAAGCGCACACTCGTTTGCTATACATATAACGCGCACGCTACTTCACGTCTGAGATCTGGTGAAGTATCGTTCAAAATCTCGTATCGATATTCCGCTAATAATTCTAAGTTATTACGATATTAAATGTGGTCTAATTAGAGAATTCGAACTATGTACAAAAGAACGTAATTTCACGTCGGATAATGTATGTAATAGCAATTTTATCGATGTTTGGTTTAAGAGTTATTCGCTCGAGGTGCGCTCGTACGCTAAAAACTTTCTATCCTCATAAGATATATACAATTTTTCTTTTTCCTTTTTTTTTCTCCTTTTTTTCGGCATATCCTCGAGGAATAACACGCGTGCGTGTCATTTTCAACAGACTTGTAACGCACACGTGCAAACATTCGCAGGCACTCTTATTAATATGTATAACGCGAGTACATTGTGCAAAAATTACAAGAATATAATGAACTGAACACGAATTAAACAGTTTGAGCCTACTTACGTGTACATCAGTGTATCACGTAATTATGTAATTATGTATGACTGCAAAAAAATTTATGTTTCACTTGAAAGGCTTATAAGAAAAACGACTCTTGTCTCTCTTTTTCCTTTTCCTGTATTTTTAATTTACCAGCCCGATATAGTTATTTCAATCTTTCTTAAACAAAACACTCGTCGTACTACGCAATTTCTATAAGTGAGAAATCTAGATCTAGATCCGTGACGTTGTGGATCTCATAAAAAAATTACAACCTAATGTTCTTATGCTAGTAAGTATTATCTCGTTATTACCTCTAATTATTAACTCATCAATCATTTGTACATTTTGATAAAATATTGCGAATGTATTGTAGCTTCTGATTAATTAAATGCTTAATTCTTATCTAAAAGCGACAATGATCGTTTTTATTACGAGACCTTCATTCTCAATACTTCCTTCAATTATTCACTTATTCAACACGTCAGAAAAAACAAAATTCATCTCGTGATTGAAATTATTCTCTTCTGTTCTTCTCCCTCTCCACCTCCCTTCCTCCCTTGCTCACTATGTATGAGCACACGCGCACGCCAGCCATGCAAGCAGAATAAATCACACACGTTTGCAACGAGCAAATATCTGTCAAAGCATTGCAATAGTAAGTATTCGAAATTAATTAACAAATCCTTCTCGATTCGAATGATTTGAAAAATATTCGCTCGTACACCTCTACAGGCTGACGGATATTCGTGCAGATTTACATTTTTACGAATACAGCTAAAGAAGTGAAAGATGAGCAAAGATTTCTTTCGTCTACTAAATATCATAGTACAACAAATACCGTGTGTTTTATATATTTTTGCATCTTACGTGCATTCTCTATGTACGCTTATCCCCTTAAATCTCCCGTAAATCTTGCATAAAAATCCGCAGCTTAGTTGTACGATTCACTCTGCGCGTACGCGCGTTGACGCGAGCGCGTGCACGGATACATGTATTATTACACAGGTATGTAGATGCGTGTATACACCTAAAATATTTGCCTATCTTATTTACCTATTTAATCAGTCATCCACCTAATTTGCCGCTGTTCCTTGCTTCTTGTTCACTGGCGTGAATAAAACGAGTGGAGCGATAAAATTCCTTTTACAAGTTTACGGCTTGCAACGTAACGGGCGTGCGAACGTAACGTTGTCCTTCAATCTCCAGGCAGTCGCGTTCGCATCGGGAAATCGTAGAGAATGCAATTAACCTAATAACGTGGGAAACGAAACGAGAACGAGAAGAGGGAATCGCGCGTCTGTACTCGCCTGTTCGCGGTCGCGTTTTACATTGCATTTGCGTAATTGTCCGTGTTCGCGCCGGTGTCAATAGGGTACGTGAATGTCCCTGGATGTGGCTCGTTGCCTGCAAATTTTGCAAACGGTGATCAAACAGATGAGACCGAGGAGAATGGCAAGGGCAGCGCCTAGGCCAGCTCCGGCCCATCCGGCGGAGCCAACGACGCTGGCCAATCCCCCGACACCGTTTCCGGATCCGGCGATGTTGCCGCGTTCACCGACAACGTCAGTCCCGCAGGTTTCGATAGACTCGTCGTTCGGTTCCTCGATCGTTCCCAGGAAACCGGTACCGTTGTGCGTACTCTTGAAGATCGATCGAGGCTCTGGCATCGGGCAGTTAACGACACCGTTGCACACGAGCCTCGCGGGGATGCAACCGGCATCGCCCGGGCATTGAAATCCGCAATACTCCTCGAGCTTCTGCGTGTTCAGAACGCCGGAAGCGTCGCGTGGTAGATGATACAACTCGGTCCAGGCGATTTTAAACGCGGCTCTCGCTGGAGCCATCGTGCCGGTGAACTGAACGATCACGGTCGGCCATTCGTACTCCTCTTGCTGTTGATCGGTTGGCTGTGACGATTGCGACGTCGGCGGCGATACCGGCTGCTGCAAATGCGTCTGCAGAGGATCTACGTTAAAGTGTCCGGGCGTGTCGTGGTCGCCGGTCGTACGAACATTCGGAGCGATCTGCGCCGCCGATATGATCGGCATTTCGCGCACGTAACTGACGTTCTCGCCGCATATGCTGAGAAACGGCTCGGCAGTGCCAGGCAAAAAGATCTCCAACTTGCCGTCCTCGCATGATCTCGAGGCGAACTTGATCTTGTCGAAATGCAGCCAAACGTCCCTGTCCCGGTTCACTCGTAATTCCCAGATGCATTTGATCGATCGGGGCGGTGCTACGTATCCGAGTGCCTCGTAGTGAGGGAATTCGATCTCGCCGTCGGTCGTCGCTGGCAGAATCGCTGGCCCGCACAATGGACTGTGAGCGAACTCGTACCTTGCCTCGAACAACGGTGCCGATTGTTTGAAATAGCTCGCCGCGGCGTGTGCGCCATCCACCAGAAGCTTCAACTCGAGTCTCTCACCTCGCGAGATCACGCGAAGCACCGGTTGCCTATCGCTGTTCGGTCCATTCACTACCGTCGATCGACAGATACAATGGCCCCTGCCGATGCTGCTGTTTTGTTGTTGACGCGATTGCTGCTGCTGCTGCTGCTGCTGGTGTTGGTGTTGGTGTTGGTGTTGGTGTTGGTATTGGTGTTGCTGTTGCTGATACGGTTGATGTTGCTGCTGCTGTTGCGAATACTGGTCGTTATTAACGTCGGCGACAGGTGGTTCTCTGACGATCAATCGATCCACTCGACTATCCCAACAATGGCCGCACTGCGCGTACGGGTGCTCCTTGAAAGAGACCGACTCCACAACGAGAATCACTCGTGCGTACAATCGTTTGTCCGTGATGAAGGTGTACGTGCATGAAAGATCAGCCGGTGGATCGCCCGGCCGCTTGTAAACAAGAGTATTCAACGGCGATCGGAATTTACCGGAGCGTTCTTTCCACGAGGCGAACGTTTCGTCGCACTCGGTTCCAGGCACAGGCACGCCGAACCTCGTCGCGTTGAAGAAGTCGTAATGCGCCCAATAATACAACGAGCTACCGGAGTAACTACCCGTCTTGCTCTCGAATTTCACGAACAAAGCGTTCGAGCTGGAAACGAAATCGTGCTTCTCCATCGGCTTGCTGAACGTGTCGCAGAACGTTTTGATGATCTTCGCGTCGTCCGGCCAGTCAGCGTCGTACAGCGTTAAACTCTCGCCGCAGTCGCCGTCGTACGGTTGTATCGGCGACTCGATGCGATTAACGCGAAAACTCGGGAAATAGAGCCTGGCGATTTCGCCCGGTCGTCCTTTCAGAAGATAGGTGCAACTGGTATACGGTGGATACCAATGGGCGACCGACAGGAATATCCCTTCGTTGCCGCTGTGCAACGATTCGCTGTTCAACAGCCAGTCGCAGCTACCGTTTCGAACGCCGGCTGTTTCTACGTGACCTGGCCAGTTGCCAACGTTAAAATGAAAACCGGTGTTTAAGAGTGGCCCCGCCGGCGACGAGACGAACTCCACGTAGAGATCCTCGCTGGTGCCGATGATGCTGTACGGGAATTTTCCCATGCCGCAGAATGTGCCGATCGCCGGGCTGCTCTCATCTTTGCCGTCGTAAACGCGTATGTAGTCGTACGGGCAATGCTCCGTGCCAGAGCTTATCGGCCTCATTGGGCAGGTCATTATGTTCTCGCATCTTTGCCCGTCGATATTGAACTCCTCGTTCTCGATGTACAGCTTTATAAAAGGCAGCCGTGTGTTCAGTCGGTATTTGCAGTGTAACGCACGCGGATAAATGCCCGGGTAAGCGGGGCTCTGCACGTAACACGTTTGTAGCCTGCAATCCTTGAAGACTCGTTCGCAATAGCTACCGGGTACAATCTCGCCCCTTCGATTTGGATAGAGTTCCGGGTGTTGGCCGTATCTTAAATATACCTCGAACTGTTGCTCGGCGCGCGAGTCGAAACTGAAGTATGTTTGATCGGTGAAGTTATCCGCGTGGAATATCACACGGACGAAACTCGTCTCGGAAATAAATGTTTGCGGTTGCTCCGACTCGCCGCAATAAACCCCTGGATCTTTCCGATTGCTCACTTCTGTTTTCGTGTTTCCGTCGACGATCTGCGAAGGAGAGCATCTACGTCAGTGAAATGGCGTTTATCCTACCTTATATATATTCTTAGTATTTTTTTATATAAAATAAAAAAAATCACGTGGACAAATTGGCGACTTGCGACCAAATTTGCACAGGCGTCAAAACGGATGGTGCGACGAGACAAACGTACCTGCAAATAACCTCCGGAACAGGTGGTAGCATTTTCTAATACGCCAACCTTAAATTTCTTGAAACGAACTCGCAGGATCCAATCTCGCGGTGTTCCGCGAAACGATCGGAAACGATACCAGCAGGATAATGGCTTTCCCCAATTTGCGGAAGTCACAGCTGGACTCGATACATCTTCGTATAAATCCACCGTCTTGTTGCAATGGTCTCGATCCGCTAGAGAGACAGGAGGGAAACAGAGCGAGAAGGAATGGAAAGGGAGAGAAGGAGGAAGACGAAAAAAGAAAAAAAGAAAGACAGTTACATATCCATTTTCATTTCCCCTTTCGAGTGACATTTCCAACTTTCAGGACGAAGAAAATGAAAAGGGACTCGCAGTTTCGATCCGTTTGACAAAACTCGTTCACGATCAAGTTACTTGAATCCAGTAAGCTGATTTCAATTCAAGTGACGCGAATATTTGAATATAAAGTGAGAGTAGGATTGTTTCAATCGGTTAGACTTCAACGTCTTTCGAAATTCAATCTTGCACGGAACAACATGTTGCGAGACGTTGTTACACTTTGATGTTACACAAACGAAGGGACGGGAGAATATATTTTAGTCTGAACAAGAAAAAGTATGAAAATGACGGAAATAATCCTGTGGCAGCATGCGGTGTTACAACAGGCCTCTATTTATACGAACTTGTCGTAAAAATACTTTGTACAATTATAGTTCCTACTACGTGTAAATTTTTTTTATTTATATATGCCTTATTCAAGAGTTCACGTTCATAAGAGTAGATTCAACAGGTAGAGAGTTCGTTTAATAAACCGGGGAATTAACTAAGATTTTCGTACAAGCAAATGGACAACTCTACCGTTGAATCTTGGAGTTTCTTACGAACGTATAAACATCAGCAAATACAGATAAAAACAGATAAAAAGGAGAATTACCTCTGCGGATAGCAGCTGGACTGGGGGTGGCAAAGACGAACAAGAAAAGAGCGAAGAATCCCCAGCCCCAAGTGCCCGACACCACCGGTATAAGCATTCCAAGTTATGCACACCGTTCCACGATCTCCTTATACTGTCAATCTAATTTCAGGCTTTCGCTTCCTAGCATCGCTTGCCCCCTTTTATATCGCAATATCTACAAATTCAAATGCACGTACGTGAGCACATCCTGCAATGTAACACGATATCTTTTAATGCACTGAAGTGGAAACGATATAGCACTTGCGTTTCGAGGGAACGATTAACTGGAAATGTAACTCTAGTTACAAGGGTTAAACTGCCTCTACGAAACGCGTACGCATCTGAATGCAACGTCAACGGAGGAAAGGGAGGAGGGGGAGTCCCTTAATTTACAACCGTGCTATGTTGTTTCCATTTATCGTATAAATACGTACATGCATGTACGTGTGTGTGTGTGTGTGTGCATAATTAAATTTCAATGTGAATGGAACAAACACTTGTCGACACAACGGTACGAAATGAGTTAGGAAAAGTGCGAAACGGATTCTTACTCTTGATACCCCATCGCATTCCCCGTCATCTTGACGTCTACTATGCGAATATAATTCGCAGCCTATGGTCAGAGACAATTTCTTAACAAAAATTCATTTACTCGTTATGTGGATTAACCAAGTCCGGAAATTGCTCGTTCCGTCGTTTGCTCGTTCACTCCAAAACGGGGCTATAATTGATTCAATCCGTGTTAACTCTCCTCTTGTTGACAGTTCAGGACCGAGCGAATTACGTATATTCTCCGACTCCCCCTTTTCTGTACGCGCGACTAACGCAACTTTCACTCTTTCAGCTTCGTTTTCCCCTAATCCTTTTTTTTTATTTTTCTTTTTCTTTTTCTTTTTTTTTTTTTTTTTGGCTTCCTTCCTTTCTTTAAAGGGGCAATTTCGAAGTTTTCCCGGAGAGATAACGAAACACCTACGTCGATAAGTAAAGGGATAAATTGTTGCAATGGAAGAAGGCAGAAAGTAAGCGTAACCGGATTCGTAAATATCAGACGACTCGTACCGAATGGTTTAAACATACAAATTGTACAGAAACGGAGAAACATATTCGCGTAAAAGTGTAAAACGAAAGAACGTCAGCGTTAATGAAAATAACATCCGTTCTACGCGAATTACCAGACACTGTATATACATATTTCAGTCTCGTTGCTGTATCGTCTGTTTAACCATAACGTCTGCAACGTAACACGAACACGTGGCTTTTCAAGTCGTACTACACTTTTTCTTACAATGAATGAGCAAACAACAAATTACTTACTTAGTTGAGGTATCTTCAGAACGAGGTCGAACGTTATATTTGTCACAATAATGAGGCACATCTACTACCTGTAGAACGCGAGAAAGTGGCGTGCATTGAAAATAGTAAGACACAATCGAAGATTTTCATCTGGTCGTGAATTAAACGATACAACGAAATCTTATTGGAACGTGCGTAATTTGTACGATTGGCCACAAAATTTTTCTTGTCGATGAAATTAGAGAAAACACCACTCGCGATTGTCGCGATTTCGAAACGAAACTTTACTAAGGTATTGCCCACTATTCGAAAATAACCGACGCCGACACTATCAAATGATCACACGATATATAAAATGAATTATTTTCTTCCAAAGTCTCTTTCACGTAATCGCACTGATAAACCGAATACGCGGTAAATACTGCGCGAGCGCAGACAAGGTTTTCACTAGGTAATGGATACCAGAACACTGCATTATCGAAAGATCATTAGCAAAAGCTGCTCTTTTTCTCCCGGGAAATCTCTCTTTCTCTCTCTCTCTCTCTCTCTCTCTCTCTTATTCTTCAACCACCGATCATTATACCCTCGTATATTTCCCTCAGCCTCTATCAGCACATGTTCGACTTAACTCGTAGCTTGATCAATTATTACTTAGGTCGCGTACATGCTACGAGCACGAAACGACGATCGAATGTACATGGAAAAGGAAACGATGAAAAGGAAAATTATTGTATGAAAGTAAATTCGCTGAAACGTGCAATCGCCACGACTGGCGTGTAGGAATACAGAGGAAGAACGAAGAGGGCTAAATTTCGCAGTCGCAATGAGGGTCAAAGGTAACAGCAACCCGAGAGGGGAAAAAATAGAAAAAAATAGAAATCGACGCGAGATACGACAAAAGGTAAGAAAGGAAACGAACGAAAGAAGGACGAAAGTAGATGCAGAAACACCGGGAGCAGAGGCTTTCATTCAGAGGAAATGAAAATGTGAAACGAGTATGAAACAATAAAAAAGTTAAATCAAATCGGTACTGTACCAATTGTGATATCGGGCTCCCATCAGTAGTTGACTCAAAACTTCAGAATGTTGACTGTACGAAGGGCTGGTTGGCTTCCTGGCTGACTGGCTGACTGACTGGCTGGCTGACTGGATAGATAGCTAGATGACTGGATAGCTAGCTGGCTGGCTGGCTGGCTGGCTGGCTGGCTGGCTGGCTGGCTGGCTGGCTGGCTTAACGTCCGATGAGAGATTCGGGTCGAACGTCGCGCAAACTCTCTACACCCTCTTTCTTCTTCGCTTTTCCTCTTGCCCTCTCTCACTTCCCTTTTCTTCCTTCTCGTTTCCTTTCTCTATTTCCCTTTCTCTTGTAATCTCCTTTCCCATATATACTTGCTTTTTCCTTTACAAGCACACTTTACGTCCCACCATGTCTCTCGCAAATATTTAGCTATGTACCTTTTAACTCATTATACTGCATCTCTCTGTTTTATTACGTCCACTTCTTCCACATCGTGCAATGCAGCGTGCAGACAAAAAAACTAGAAAAATATTTATTTTAATCCTCTCGTGAAACGGGCGTCGTTGTTCATATCCATGCTTCAACTTTTCCTTCCCTTTTTTTCTTTTTTTTTTTTTTTTTNTTTTTTCAACGGTGGATAAAATAATTTGCACGGTTTTCGCTTTTTTTTATTCAAAATTCACCTGACGACAAGGTACATAAATGAGTAATTGAATGAATGTTAGAAAACAGTGGTCAAAGGATTTAGTAAAACAAAAAAGCGTTAGCGACAAAAGACAATATTTACGGATAGCTAGTATATAGCTAATATGATTGAAAAAACAAACAAAAAGGAAAAAAAGAGAAACAAATGTGCATATCTGAGAATAAAAGATACAGAACTTTTATGGACTTTGTGAGATTTTTCGTTTCTCTCAAGTTTGCCATTTCATGAGAGTACAAATAGTTTTGTTTAATCTATACGCGATAGAAAACTTATGAACTTGACAAAAAAAATTTTTTTTAAAAATAGGAAAGTAATCGATACGAATGATCGATGTACAAATTATAATTGAATGGCTGATCCGTCGTATCGTCGTTTTACATCACTGCTCTTCTCGTGAAACGATCCCGATATCTCGCTGGTATATTACTTGCTCGATGAAAAACAGAATAACATTTATTTAATTTGATTTTGCAGTACAATAATTATCGACAGTGAAAACTGAATACAACTCTTTTCTTTTTCATGTATGTTGTTTAGAGTGCGCGACCGAAGATTGGTAAAAAGTTGGAAACCGAAAAAGAGAAAGGAAAAGACCGGATATATATTATAATTATTATAATATATATTATAATTATTCGAAATTCGAGCGCTGTGAGGAACGATTTGAGTCAATTATGACACAATTTTGAATTCTACGCTTGATCATGATCATGATCAAATTGTCATATCTATGGTTTTCCTATGTCGTACCACGAGAGCAAGCAGACATTTCTCGACCTTATTCAACGCAGAAAGAAACAGTTCGAAGCAATGAATATTCGTTTAAGAGTTTATTTACAAGTGGCAACAAAAATACTATCACCTCTTCCTGTATGATTATAGTACGTTAATATCTTCGTTAGATAAACAGGCACGTCAGAAAGAAATTTCGATCGACGTATTCAGCATAAGATTATTGCTTGTTGTTTTTTTTTTTCTTTTCCCTTCTTCTTTCTTTTTAAATAGAAACTTTGTAAAATCATACGTAGAACTATAATCTAAAGTTTGTGTCTACGATTCGCGAGCATCTTAATCTACGCGAATTGCGTCATAATCGATTTCAATGATCGATTTTGTATAATGTGAACAATCGTTGAAGTTGAAGAACCGGAAAGGATCAATAGACATCTTTCTTTCTTTTTTCTTTCTAATAGTAACTGGACATTACACAAAAACAAAGATTGAGAAAATATTCAAATATACACAACACGTATTTACGTAAAATACGTAGTCAATGTAGCTCATAAAGGGAAACTCTACAGCTCAAACTTATACGATGTATAGTTTTTAACAAATTCCTCAAGTATCTTTATTTACCAGTATCAGCAACGTTCTAGAATAGGTGATCTTTTTCTTTTGCGAAGCACTAAGGCGAACAACGTGAGCTGTTTTAACATAATATTTCCTTCTATTGAGATTCAACATCTTTATGAATATATTACGATATGGTTTCATCCAAGATGCTTCTTACATGTAATATTTCTCCAAGAATGTTACAAATATTTATTCCCTCTTACAAATACGTAAAAGCTCTCGTCGTCTCCTTGTACCTGTATATCGTCAAGAAAAAAAAAAAAGAAACATAAAAAATTTATTCAACGAAACATGTGTATGTGCTTACTAATGATCATGACGACTTGATAACTATGTTGCTATGTCAGCAGTTGATTCAACTCCGGAAGTTGAAAAAGAAAGGTAGAACACCGAAACAAGCTATGAAAATATGAGACGAGGGAATAACTTTGTCTGCTCTCGCTTTTCTTACGAATATTCCACTTGTTGCAACAATAAACGGTATCGAGTATTTATCATATGCAGAAACTAAAGTAACCACAATGTGGTTAAATGAAAAACAGTACAGAACCGAGTGTGTACATGTATGTATTTGTCGGCGCGCGCGCATCATAGATGAAAATGTATGGAGAGATTTAAACGTGGTATGGATATGGGCAACGATTCGAAATCCTGAACATTAAGCGTGCACGTGTTTACGGACGCACACACGAACAAGTGTGAGGTACACGCGCGTGCAGATATATTTGACAATGGGCGAGTAGCGCGATGTAACAAAAAAATGTCCTACGTAACGATAGTCTAGGACAACGATGGTTCAGTGGTCGTCCATATCATGAACACGTTGACGTTTTGTCGCTGGTTGTTGATGTTCAGGTGGTTCAGGACTTTCAACAATGGCAAGCGGTGCCGGTGAACCAGGAGAACTATCCGATTCTTCGTGTGAACGCTTCGCAATTCCGACGCCTGCGTCGGGACCAATAAAGCTTCCACTGATTGTGATCACAGAAAAAATAACAAATAGTTTTGATGAATTGATAAAAAAAATACAGCAAAGAAGATATTAAATACGAACTTACCTATAATTATACGTGGTTTGTACAATAACAGGGGCCGGACTATATTGACCAGCCGGGGAAAGAGAATGCTCTTCTGTAGCATTTCCAGATACGACGTATTTATCTGAAAAAAATATCAAAGTATATTTAAAAGATATTTTTATGAGAAAAATAAAAACATAAAAGACAAACGATAGAAGAGTATACAACTTGTAGAATCCGCAAAGGACCTTATTTATCCTTTCTGTAGGATAGGAAACGTAGGAACACAATAAAAACATTATTACCTTCTCTAGTCGAATCACCACTAACACCGTTCGTGACAACAGTAATCTGTTGCATTAGGCGACCTTTATGAGACGACTGACTCGACGATGCATAGGGATGACCAGGTGATCCTGGCGCGGATTGACTAGTCAACTGACCAGCCGGAGAGGATACAGTGCTGTCAGGATAAGATTCTGGTCCTGGCGAAGTTTCTCTGCTAAGACATTCCGGCGTCATCAAGCCACTAATACCAACATGAGATGGAGAAGCCGGTGCACTTCTATATGATTTCAAATATTATAAACATTAGATTAAAATTTTTACAAATTAGTATACATGAAATTGAAAAACAATGGTACTTATAAAATCTATCCACCTAGATGAAAGTCCAAATGGAGCTCGAAAACATGGAACTCCACGTTGCCTTCTTTGTCTAAATGCCTGCTCTATAAGCTTTGCTTCTGATTGTGGATCTATCCGCCAAAATGATCCTTTCCCTGGTTCTTCTTGACTTCTTGGTACTTTGATAAAATAACGATTTAATGAAAGATTATGCCTTATTGAATTTTGCCATCCTTTATCCGCAGTTCTATAGTATGGATAATTCTTGGTAATGTAAGAATAAATGCCAGACAATGTGAGCTGTTTATCTGCAGCAGATGCTATTGCTTGTACAATTAACTGTGCATATGAATATGGAGGTTTAGAGTCATCTTTCGGTGGACTACAATGTGCTGTAGTACCGTTTGGACCGCTACTGTTGCCACCTCTGTATCTTGACTCAACACCAAGCTCAGGACTTATTTGTCTATTAGAACTTTGTCCACCCTCGTGTCTTTCCATGTTAGAGTTTTGTGAATCATTTGCAACAGCGGCTGCATATACAGCTACCATCTGTAGATCTGCTGATATGTTTCTCCTTCCTTGTCCTGCACGTGGGCTGGCAGGACACGAATTAGCAGCACTAATTGTTCCAGTAGGAGAAGGAAATGGACTACTATAGCCAGCATCCGGAATATTAATACGTAAAGGTGGTAATGGCGCTCTATGCTTTGGAGGTGAAGGAACGCGTATATTACTTTGTTCTTGTTCATCCACTAACGATTGAAATACGAGTCTTATATTTGTACTTGGAAATCTGAATGTGCATCTAAAACAGAAGAAACAAGCAGCTGACAAATGAGAATAAGGAAAATGCAAAAGAACGAGTGGAACTCTTACAGTAGTTCTTTACTTGAAATTGTTTGCATGAAATACCATAAGATTCTTATTGTTATCATAAGATAGTTATAAGATAGTTTTTCATGATCGTTATCGGCAATGTCGCAATATAACGAGACTATCGTAAATTACGAACGAAATGAGACCGTGTCAGAATCGTGTAACATGTTTGCTAGTGGCATGCGAGAAACGTGCAAGAAAGGTTAAGTCGGCTCGATAAAAGTTGGAAAGATATCTTACGTCTTTGGTAATTGGAAGGCAGGCGCACCCTTTCGTTGAAAAACTCCATCAACAAAAACACCATTTTTACCATTGCAAATCATAAAGAAAAACGGATGATCATAGAAGATTTCAAGGTGTCGTCGTGAGATAAAGCTGGAGTGGCCCATGTTGACGTCGACCTCACCCTTGCTGCTGTTACGTCCGATAGTGATACGTCGCTGTCTAACCATGTACTCAAACTCGCGACCTTCTAACCGTGCAATCGGTGCACCTTTTGCTTCCGGGTTCCACTGCATCTTCGTCGGGCTGGCCGGTGCCGACTTCAGTGCCAGAAGGGCCCACGCGTCGCTCTCCTGAGTACGGGAGTACGTAGTAGACATAGCACCGAGTAAGCGAACCCTCCTTTGGGATAGAATGAGAGAGAGAGAAAAAGGAGAAGTAGACAGATATAGATAGATAGATGGACATGTAGATAACGGGTCAGATAGATGGATAGATAAACGAATAGATAACCGATCAGATAATTAGATATATAAATACAGACAAAAAGTGATAAATTACCGCGAAAGAAAGGAACGATCCTGGAATTATCTTGTATGTGCACTACTTTGTAAACTATGGATATCCAGGATTTGGAGAACGAACAAACTGATTAAAAGACTACGTCAATTAGTATTAACAATAGCACGTATAAAACATCGAGTGAAATTCAATTTATTGAAATAATCAATTCTCTTATAAATTCGACGAACAACTAATCGAACAATCGATTGATTAATCGACTGGTTAACTGATCGACTGGCGGACCGATTTGATTAATCAATCGGCCAGTCGACTAAATAATCGACCAATTGATTTTAATGCAACTGTGTTATAAACAAACAATATCTAATATCAATTAAGCAGATTAGTAAATAAACATGCAAACTCAATAACTAGAGAAAGTTACAATTTTTCATAAAGAAAAAAATGACATTTATACATGAATATACGTAAATCTATATATAATAATATATAAAATCAAAAGTCTACTTACTTAGGTGATATTGCCCTAATGCTTTGTCTAATTAATCTACAAAACAATAAAATTAAAAATAAAAGTCTTTTTACATCTAGAAATTAGTTAACACACACACACACACACACACACACAAACATATATCATTATATTCCTTTTACGTCCTTTTCATTTCACCTGTTCCTTTAAATTTTCTTGCTAGTTTTAATTTATATTTTTACACTTGCATTCACTAGCTAGTTTACACTTAAGTGTGAACGTAATTCCTCTTCTAAAAGTATTACGTTTTTTAGTTATTCTCAATTCAAAAATATCACGTGATGCAGACGCGCGTTGTATTTTTCGATTTGAACATGAAGTAACGTCAGGATGAACTAAGGTCTTCAATATGATTGTTGAGGTTAATGACATACAATTCGAATCTACTTTAATAAAAATTAGGACATATCTACGAATATTATTGTAATAAGTTCAAAAATATCAATCATGACATAAACAACATTTTTATTGATCCCAATTTGAATTTAACTAATGCATATGTACTGATAAACATGCCAAGTGTAACATACCTTTATGTGCTTATTCAGACGTTTAACAATAACTAAGAATGAATAAGTACGATATACATGAAAAACTATGAATGTTTATTATCGTCGTATTATGTGACACAATTCTATTTATTAATTTTGTTTCCTTGTTATACGACCACAACGTACAATCATGAATATTCAAGAATACGTTTATGTAAATGACAAAAACAATGACCGTTGTAATGACGACGTTTATGGTCTCGTAACTAAATTAAGTAAACACATATTGCAAACATATCGGTCTTCTCATCGAAACGTGCAACTCTTTCATGATCGTGATGTTAAAGTAATTAAACATCTTCGCATTAAAGCTTTTGAAATATTATTGAAGAAAAGCATACCATGGATCACAAATCAAGGTGATATTAATATCTGACCACGTTACATGTATCTAACTTTTAATTATTTATCTTTTCTTTATCTTGTTATTTGTATCCACAGATTGCGAATATCAAAATGCAGATCCATTTTTAGAGATACAAAAACATGCTTTTGCATTGAAACTGAGATTAAACCATTCGTATGAGGCTAAGATGTTGGAACATTTGTCAGAAAAGCTTGAAGAATTCCCATGCAATGAACTACCAGTATCTTCTGTTTTACAATTATTAATGCAGTTGAAGAATTCTGATGTTAATCCAGAACCATTAACAGTAAGATTTAATCTTTTACAATTATAAAGTAGATTTGTCTCAATTTCATAAGTATATTAATACATACTATTACAATATCTAGAATATATTTTATTTCAACAAAACAAATCCTGCTTTTCCTGAAATCATATATAACAACAATAACATACCACCATTCCAAATGTACCCTATGGAATGTTTCATATTATCAGAAAAATTTGAAGCGACATTAGAAAAATATCCGATTAAAAGAACTGCACCCTCAAACTTTATAAATGAATTAAGTTTCTTGGATGATTCAATAAAATCCAAAGCTATAGTTGGGATTGAGTCTGCTGAGTAAGTTGTACATAAATTATCTCTTTTTTTCAAGTAAATTTATATATATATATATATATATATATATATATATATATATATACATTCCTTTTTTCAGCATATCTGTTGCATGTGATTTTATGTCCAGTCACATGTTTGATAGAATATCATCACATACATTGTTCTGTCCAAACGAGCAATTTACAATAAATTCAGAATTTAATATGTATATTTTACAAAATAATGTGGTAAGGCATTATTTTTAACATTTTTATCAAATATTTATTAAGCAATAGTTTGAGCTATGTTTGAGCAAAACAGTAATAATGAAAAGCAATCTTTTGAATTTAATTAAAATTTTTTTTACAGTTTAGAAACAAGTATGAAAATATATGCAGCTTTCCCTCGGAAAGAGGGAATTCGACAAATTATTTATATCTTCCTTTTATGCAAACAAATACAGAAGAAAACAAAAATGTATGTATAGATACATGGAATATTTTGGATCAAAGTGTTAGCAATGAATCAAACAGTAGTGTAAACATTTGTAATCATATATGGAATCAAATTGATGTTGCTGCTGCTTTATCAGCTGCAGAACATCAAACATGGGAATATTTTGGAGAGATACAATCTATCAAAGAATTGATGTTCATAACAGATACTCTAATTGCAGCAGTACATCTGGAAAAAATTAAGCAAATGAATAATTTGTCTTTAATTCCAGAAAAAGTAAGTTGTTTGCACAAAACATAAGTATTAAATGTAGTATAAATATAATTAATAGTTTACTAATACTTTACTATTTATCTCTGTTTGTTTAATATAGTTAGTGAACTCTTTGCTTTTCTTGGAACAAGTTTCAGCCAAAGAATTTCTACATGATTTGAAATCAATGTTAATGGGAGTAGAGTCAAATTCTTTTGAGTATAAATGTGCTGTATGTATTTCAATTAATCTTAATAAAAAAATAATTGAAGAATAAAATGTATAAATCTGCTTTTAAATTATTTTTAAACAATTTGTTAGACAGGATTTCAGTTACGAAGAAATATCAGTGTATATAGTATATGTTCAGAATCAATAAGGAAGATATGTGAAGAAGCCTTTAATTGGGGTAATTGTTTCAAGTTTTTATGGAATCTAGTTACACCTAAATCACAAAGTGATAAATCACCACAAGAAGGACTAATATTTAAGGTTTGTAAAATTAGATAAAAAATTTAAAAAAGAATGTAATTGTACATATATACCATTATTTTATAGGCCATGTGTATAAATATCAAAGAATTATTGCTTTATTATCAAGCAGCATTATTAAGAATTTTTACATATGAAAATGAATCAGAGGGGCTATTGAAAATATTTCAAAAAGTACGTTCTCTGGCTGCATTAATCACTAAAGTTGCTAAAGTTTGTGAACCTTACAAAAAAAGTCAGTACATGCCTCGAGAAGGAAGCAACATTCTTACTAGGATTTATAATGAAGCAATTAAAATAACTGATACCAAAATTGCTTTAGTATTCTATTCATTATTAAAATCTTGTTGCGAAGTTTATTTTCAGTAAGTATCATACAATGTAATAAATGCATAACCCGGATACCAAGTATTTTTTTTTATTCAATGTTTGGAATGTTGAATAATGTAATTAAATTCACTGTAACAGTTTCTTACAGAAATGGATGTTTGAGGGTATATGCGACGATATATATGGAGAATTTATGATCAAAACACGACCACAATATTTACGTAATAGAAGCCATAAGTTTTGGACAAAAAGTTTCAGCATTTGCAATGATGAGGTGCCAGGTTTTTTGAATGATCTAGCTGAATCGATACTTCAGTGTGGGAAAACAGTAAGACTCCTAAGAACTTGCGACTCTAAAGTAAGCACATGTAATATATTATATTCTAGTTATTTCTACTGTAAACAGTATATTATACTGATCTCTGCATGGTGAGAATTTAGAATCCAGTATGTCGTGTCTGCGTAACCGAACAACCAGGAATAAAAGTTTGCTTAAGTATAATCTCGTTACGCGAGCAGTCATCAAGATATCGGGAATATGAAAAAATAGGTAGAACTGCACTTGGGTCAGTAATTTCTCTTTCCACAGCTATTTTAAATCAGAAACGATTAGAAAAAGAAATGTCAAAGATAACTATATCTACAGAACGTGATACGTTAATAAAAATTCGTGGTAAGTGTATTTTTTATTTGTAAGTGGTCATATAGTTGTGGATCGAATATAAATAAAAATGTTAATGATGTATCTTTTCTTTTATTATTACAAAATCATCAGAAGACAAAGAAAGAGAAGGAAATAGATTAAAAACATTAACACAAGCAAATGTTTTAACAAATCCGCAAACAGAAGTACGTACAAATAACTTAGAAGAAGAAAAGGCGAAAAAACCTGACTTATCGAACAAAGTACAATTAAAAATCGAAAATGATAAAGAAGAAAGTACGATAAAAGCGACATCGAGATCCTTAGAACGGTATTATAAATTAATAATTAGCTATATTTAATATTCGAATCAGAACTATAAAATTTTAATTTTAAATACTTACAGGACAATTATTTGGAATTATTATGAAAGCTTAGCCAATGATATTAATAAACGATGTATTCGTTCACAATGGCGAACAAAAAGAATGAAATTGTATAATGAGAGAGTAGATGCTTTAAGCAAAGTCAATCAAGAATCAAGAAATGAGTTTTTGAAAAAAACTGAAGAACATAATTGCGTAATAACTCCAGGTGTTTTAGTCGAAACTCCAATCTCACTTGAAGATGAAAATAAAAATTATACAGATACATCTTTTCGAACATCAAATGTAATGTCAATAGCGTGTACTGAAATTGATCAAGAAGATTCAACGCAAAGTTCTTCACTTGTAAATTACGCAGATAAAAAAACAATAAGCAACAATAATGAAAAACAGGAATTTCACAATTTCGAACGATTGGAAACACTAAATACAGAAACGACTTCAGAAGTTTCATCAAATAGAAATACAACAAATAAACAAATGAATGAGATTTTAGAACATCTATCAGTTCATTGCACCACAAATCGTTCATCAGTAACAGAAAGACCCACTCGTTTGAATGTTACGAAAATCGATAATATTACAGTATCATCTCAAATTGGTGGTATGTGTATGCGATCATTAGATTATAAAATGACGCCCAATAACAACGAACTTGACATACATCAAATTGAATTTACTTCTGTTACGCAAGAAACAAATGAAACAAATATTCGTTGTATCGAAAATATAGTCGTCACAAATAAAGAAAATGACTTAGAAACACCGATGTCATGTACAACGGATAATTTTACTACTTCATCAGTACAAAGTCCTGTTTCGATAACATATAATTTGGAAGACTCATCTCCTTCGGAAATTTCATCTACCGTAATGCCATCGAATTCGAGTAACTTAATTACGAAATCACCTCTTGCCATGAAAGAAGATTCAACATTTTCAGATTTATTTGAATTGGCTCGTGATGAGAAAAGCAATAATATATCACCAATAGTAACTCCTTTGAGTATTACCGATGTTGAGATAATTGATCACATTTCTCTTCAGGCCTATTTAGAAAAGTCAGTTCGTATTCCTCTCAACGTGCAGAGCCGTCTCGTTAACGATGCTATAAGAAAATATTTTTTAATAGAAAACAATTTGCTATCACATTTGCATAGTTTACGTAGTTATTTCTTTCTGCTGAACGGAGAATTTTCAAAGAGTTTAACAGATTCTCTATATGCTCGCCTATATGAAATCTCAATACCTATCGAACTGTTCAATTCCGCTACTTTGACTAATGTTCTAGAACGAGCACTCGTTCATTCATTTAACAATGTTTATATTAATTCGGAGCTCCTCAGTCTCTCAGCAACGGATACACCAGTTCAATTACATGTAAATTTTTTATTTCACGTCTTTACCTACTTATTTTCTTAATTTTACCCTTTGTTTCTTGTAAAACCTTTACAGATATCAGATCCAGCTGCATTGGATTGTCTTACTCTCAACTATAAAATAAACTGGCCACTTAATATTATATTTGATGAGACAGTCATGCAACAATACCGGAAAGTATTTAAATTTTTAATAACAAGCGGTAGAGTTTCATGGGTATTACAAGAAGACTTTAATATTATGAAAAGAGAACGAAAAGCAATTACATCGGAACAATATCATAAGGTATCATCATATGTTATGATCTCAACTTTTTTTTTTAATTTAATACAATTGTTAATTTTAATTTATTTTAGCTGCAATTATATAGACATTCAATGACTCAATTTATGAATGCATTGCATAATTATTTAACATGTAGTGTATTACACGCAAGTTGGGCTGAATTTGAAAAAGATCTGGAACAATCTTTAACTGTGGATCAAATTTATGTGTCACATGTAAATTATATAAAACGAATACTTTCAAGGTAAACAATTATATTGTATATCGTATAGTTATGCCCTCTGCATTAGGTAAAGATTGTTTTATTCTTTGTAGATGTATGCTGAATAGTCGTGGAGAAAAAGTACGCGTGTGTTTGACCAATATATTTAAAGTCATTTTGAAATTCCATAATAGAATAAGATCTCAAAATTGGATAATGAAATCTACAGGATATGTACATCCTAATTTTAAAAAATTGGAACAAATGTATCAAGCATTTTTCGAATTGCGAGCATATATGTCACACGTTGCGTTTAAATTAGCCACTAGTGGATACCAGCCGCATCTAATGCATTTCCTAAATGCCCTGAATATAAATCCACTATATGATTTAACTGTTAAAAAATGTAGTTCTATGAGCCCTCCAGAGCTTTAATATGTTATTACGTCTTATTTTTCTTTTTATTTCAATTTTAAAACTTTACTGTATCACTATCATCAGTAGTGTTCTTTGATTTTTCTCAATGCTGTTGTACATTTCGTTGGATATTTTTCATCAAAAAGTTTTTTCATTTGTACATTTCGTTGGATATTTTTCATCAAAAAGTTTTTTTATACTTTTTTCAAGTATATTTAAAAATTTTTTTGTTAAAATCGGAAAGGACAAGAATAAATCGCAGGAAACAGCACCTTCGATAAAAAAAAAAATTATTACACAGCTGCAACCATTTGTTTATTTTTAGCAAGTACATCAACACAACGTGAACATAGATTATCTTTTTGAGGTTCAGGATATCTTCTACAACGTTCGCACAACTCCTCCTGAATGTCATGTAGTTGGATTTCTGTTTCGTTGATCGTATGATTCTCATGTAATGTAACTGAAGAGAGTTGTAGTATCTCACATAATTCAGACATTGATGGTTGTTCTTTGTCGTGAAGAAGCTGCATAAAGTATGTGTGTATAAACCAATATAATATTTATGGATACATAATAACTTTAGTTTCTTTTAAATAATACTTACAGAAAGTAAGGTGAAATCTTCTTTTGTAGCTTCTACAACACCATACAATTTCCATGAAGTTTTATTAATGATTTTTAAAACATTATTTCTCAATCGAAGTGCTACACTTATGTGTTGTTCGATTCCTGGATCATTCCATGACTCCGATATTTTATATTGCGTATAATGTAATGGTATCGATGCTATATTTTATATAATTAAGTTTAATTAATTAATAAGAAAGTGATTTTCTTATTTGTTGTGAAAAAGAATTTTAACATACCGAAATTTTGGGAATGATATAGCCATACTTCTTCTGCCAAATGAGGCAGAATTGGTACGATGGATCTTACAAGAACATTTAGAATTTCTTTTATAACTTGCACGGCTGCAATGCGTGTCGGAGACGTTATCTCATCACAATAAAGTCTATCTTTAATTATAGTACAATAAAGAGCTGATACATCATGTGATATAAAATCTATAATCTTTTTCCCCGCATGATGATACTCATAATTGTTGTAATATTTTTGCATCTAATGATATATAAATAATATATTAATATATTTATTTTTTTAACTAAATTAAAAAGAAATTACCTGTTTATTATAGGAATATAATAAGTACAGCATATATTTGTCAATAATCCGATATTCAGGCTTACAATTCATATCAGGATAATGATGTAAAGCACCCAGGAGAAAGCGCAGTATTAAACGAAGTTTATTGACGCATTGCTTACAATCATCGAGTAAATTTTTTGAAACTAGCGCTTGTTTATTCTGACAACTATGATTAGCTACCCACCATCTAGAATGATAATTTTGATATATTACAATTGTATTACAAAATTAAGTTTTAATACCTTAAAATGTCGACACCATATGCTGGATTTTTCTTTAAATTAGATCCACCTAGCAAAATTTGTTCTGGATTTATTACATTTCCTATTGATTTTGACATTTTTAAACCATTTTCATCGACTGCAAATCCATGTACAAATAAATCACTAAAAAATAAGAATGACACTTACACTGATACTGTTATTTTAAAAATATTTTTTTTTTTACCTATAAGGTGAACATCCCTGTAAAGCTATAGATGTTATTAAGGATGACTGGAACCAACCATTGAATTGATCATATCCTTCTAAATAAAGATTTGCTTTTTCTTCTGGCAAAACCATTGACCATGAAATTCCGCTGTCGAACCAAATATCCATGATATCCTAATAAATATTTGTCAATAAATATTCAACCTTTATTTTTTTCACTTATAAATTGACTGAAATTTACATTTCCTTTTACTATATCATCTGCATCAATATTTAATTTTTTAATTATATCTAATCCTATTAAATCTTTCACAGAATATTGCCACCAACAATCGGGACCATATCGATCTATCGAATCGCATAAACAATCAATTAATTCTCTAAAATGAGAAAATATAAATAGAATAATAATAAGTAGAAATGTATATTACAAAATCAATATATTATAAATTACAATATATATAAATATAAACTTACTTATTCGTAAATGGTTTGCCTGTTGTTTTGCTATATACCACAGGTATAGGTGTTCCCCAAGAACGTTGTCGTGAAATGCACCAATACGGTCGATTCCTTATTCCAGCAAGCAAAGCATTCATAAAAGATTTACGATTACATTCAGGATATATATTCACATCTTTAGTGCTATTCTACAATAATAAAATATTTGTTTCAGCGAAATTTTATGGTAATGTACACATAGAAAAACTTCACAAAATATAAATTTACAATAATTTTTTCCCTGATAGAATTTATATTAATAAACCATTGATGACTAGCACGAATAAGAACTGGTTGTTTTGTTCGCCAATCATATGGATAACTGTGTGTTAATGCTTCCATATGTAGTATATCTTGAGCTAGAAGACTCATCACTTTATCAACTCCCTCTGTTAATACTTCTAATCCGTGAAATTCTGGACCAGCTGCTTCAGTATATCGACCTTCGGAGTCTACCACAGATAACTACAATATATCACAATGTTATTGATATTTAGTTTATAATAATCTAACAATGGTATTATAATAGATATTACTCGTTTAAAAAAATATAATAATTCAACTTAGCTTACAATACTAATTTTATTTTTAAGCGCGACCAGAAAATCTTCTGGACCATGTGCAGGAGCAGTATGAACTAAACCTGTTCCTTTATCTATTGTAACATGATTTGCAGCTAAAAAAGGACATTTTTGTTCCATAAAGGGATGAAAATATGTACAATCCTCCAATTCTCTGCCTAATAAAACATATCTATTTTTAATCAATAATGAATTTAAAATAAAAAATATTTAATAATCGAATTTACCTTTGAATGATATTACTGATTTCAAAGGTCCAATCTTTGATTCAGTAGATTTTAATAATTCTTCAGCAACAACATATAAGTCTTTTTTATGGTCTTCAGCAAGACAATATGTAATATCTGTACAGAAAGATACAGCTTGATTAGCTACTAAAGTCCACGGTGTAGTGGTCCATATTAATGCATATATAGCACGATTTTTAAATGAATTTAATCTTTCTGGTATGTCATTAACACGTAGACGAACAGTCACAGTTTTACTTTGATGTTGCTCGTTATATTCCAATTCAGATTCAGCTAATGCTGTTCTACAATATAAGACAGAATTAATTGTTTTTATAAATCTGAAATTAAATTATTCAATCTTGGTTACTTTACCTTGAAGAAGGAGACCAATAGACTGGCATAAAATCCCTAAATATAATATCCTTCTCATACAATTTTAGAAATTGGTGAAATTGATTTTTTATATATGATGCATGATTAGTAAAGTAACATCCAGATTCATTCCAATTGGCTGTAATGCCCCATGATTGGAAAGCTTGTTTCTGTTTAACAATAGCTTCTTCAGCACATTTACGAGCTAAATGTATATGAAAAGAAAAAAAAAGGAAATAAAAATGTGTAATATCAAATATTATATGAACTAATAAATTATTCATATGAATTATACCTTTCTGCCTAATCACTAAAGGATTATCTGTACTTTTATAATCTTTAATGGCCTTCAATTCAATTGGTAGTCCATGACAATCCCAACCTGGTACATAATGAACTCGATTCCCATTCATAATCTTATATCTTAATGTTATATCCTTCAGAATCTATAAAAAGTCATAAAAATAGCTATTAGAAATGTATAACCTAGAAAAATATTTTGTTGCAAAACATAATACTTTATTAATGGCATGTCCCATATGAGGTATTCCATTTGCATAAGGAGGTCCATCATGTAAAACAAACTCTGGCCCTGACAGATTTTTTCTTTGCCATTCGTACAATTCAGAAAAGCCACACTTCTATAACAATGGAATCAAAGAAACAAATGTCTAAATAAATGAAAGAATAATAAACCAATTAATAGATAAAAAAAAATATATACCGACTTACTTCAGTCAAATGTTTATCTGTGTCTATTCGTGCTTTCCCATTAAGTTGTGCAGGAAATTTAGTTTGTGGAAGTAAAATAGTATTTGTATATTTGGATTGCTTTTTTGATGTAACTTCTGTGCATTTTTTCGTAGTATCAACTAATTCTTCGCTTGTTTTCTTTAAAATTTGACTTGTAATTAATGTCCGTTTAATAAAAACTCTATGCATATTTACTGAATTTTATTTTACAAACACGATCGTGTATTTCGTAATAAAGGCAGCTATTCCTCAACATTTAAATCAGATCATTAGATTTCGATATATATTATCAAAAAAATTTTTAATTAAACGGATGTGACCTTTTTAATAAAACATACGAGAAACATATAGCGTACTACCATTTAATTATTCTTATTATTCTTATATACCCGGTATCACCGACATAAGGAACAGAACATGTTCTTAACTATCGACATTTAATATCTACTCTATTTTACTTTAAGTACTAAAATGACATTTGTTTTATTTTCCTTGTTATGTACTTAAAATTTGATTTTCGTTAAAAGTAAAGTTTCGAAGAAGATTTTCGAAGGAGAAAGCGATATTTTCAAGTAAGGAATTTAAGTGTAACATAGGTAGGTTAGTTCGTTCTGGTTTGTTCCCCACTGATAGAAATTCAATCTTGCATTTGATTATTAATGGAATATGGCTACAGTTTTCGAAAGTTCGTTCTTATCAAATAGAGCACATCGTATGGAACGATATGAAGAATCGATAAACACTTTTGGCAAATGTGACTGCACTAGCTATAGCTATCTTGTTTTAAGCGTCATTTTGTTCGTGATTGGGACAGCTATCACTATTTTTTCTTTGGATGACATCGTAGGCGAACACATATTTTTTAAACTTGGTCACATGTGGCTTATCGGTCCAATATTCATTTGTTCTGGGTTAATGGTGGCTGTCAAATGCATGCTTTACCTTCGGCGAAAGTCTGTTATACAAATAATCTTTCATCAACCACAATTATTCAGAGTAAGTAATCATTTACTACCATCTCTTCGATATTCGAATAACTTTTCAATTAATTTTATGAATCCTTGTTTTTCTTTTTTTTTTTTTTTTGTATAAAATGTACATGCATATCATATATTATTAACTGTGTCATATAGAAATTATTAAAAAAAATAATCAACTTTCGAAAAGTACATTATGTATGTTAATACTTTTAAATGTATAAGAAAATAGTGATCAACCAAATATTAAATACATTTGAATTGTTAAGATCGACTAAATTCAATAAAAATAAATTTCATTAATGAATAGTTCGAGATGATGTAATCGTCGAATACATTTACAGGAATTAAGCAGTACTCGTGGTATTGAACGTATTGATATACAAACTCCAGATCCACCATCTTACGAAGTAATCGCTCAAGAAACTTATAATGAATTACCTCCGCCTTCTTATGCAGAAGCGGTAGCGCTTGTACGCAAGACTATTGGGAGCAGTAAGAATCTTTCGTTCTGTTACAAAAATTTAATATTAACACTATAGCATTTTTGTTTTTCTTTTACACTTTAGATACCAAATCAAATAGCGCAACTGTTTCTTGTGATAGTGTCGCTATTGACCAAAACATCAGGTGTAAACCTTGAAACAATATATTTTCTTTTTCAATCGAAAGATCGATTACAATACAAAAGTTATAAAACTTATATTTTTCATTAATGAACTATTGTTCATTTTATTATATTGAACGTCATTTTTTTCTATTACAAAAAGAATATCGTCGCTCATCCTATCCGTTAAGAGATAAAGCGGAATAAAGGATGATGTAGATACTCGATTTTATTACAATGTTGATGCTGGTAAAACGATAATTGTTTGATGAATAAAATAAAATTCGCACAATAGTATCGATTCAATTGATAAAAGGATATTTCAATAAGTGAAATATTCGAGTTGTTACATGTAGAAATTTAATTCAGTAAGTGACTGTAGTCAATTTTCTTCAATTACACAAATTTTTTGTTAATGTAATACGAATTACGTATATAAATTTTCATATTGTATCTTTTATGTATAAGAAAACGAATCTTATGAATAACTTACAAATTAGAAAAAAGTTACAATAGTGTGACAGATCTTGTTTGTAAAAATACATTCATACAATATTAAAAATAGAATGTCTCACACGGCCAATAAGTATTAAACATTTAATGACTGGACAATAATAAAATATTCCCATATGGGAATTTTTTATTCTTAATTATTTATTTATTTGAAAATACAAAAAACGCGTATTTTTATGTAAAAAATGGTTATAAATAATAGAAAGAGAAAACGATATTGAATTTTATTGTTAATAAAATTTATGAGAGCTATTTGTACATTTACAATGTATTACTTAATGATAAAGCGAATAAAAAAAGACGTTTCATATTTCGCATAATGTTTATTTTATGATCTAGTATACGCGTTAAAAACAGATCAGAGAGAGATCGCTAAATGTTTTCTTTACGTTGCGCATACAAAGTATATAATTAGTTATGTGCAGTATTTTCAAAATAGTTTAATAACTATAATTATTTTTGTAAAAGGATTTAGTAAAGACGAAATTTGAAAAAAAGAGATTATAGTATAAAGAGAGGAGACAAAAAAGATAGAAGATAAAGGAAAAAGAGAAAGAAGAAATTTATCTTTCAGGATTGAGCTACAGCCAACATTTCTTCTTGGTGAATAAGATGAGTTGTGTGATTGACAAGACTCATTAGTTTTGATAAAGATGCAGCCCAGGCATCCAAAAGAGCGGCTGGTTCTTGGGTTCCTGTGAAACGAACTACCCCGGCTGGGCGATCTGTGCGAGCACTTATCACGCCAGTCTCTACTAAACTGCATAGACATGCTTCCGTTTCTTCAATCGGTAAATCCAATAATTCTGCCATGCGAGTTAGTGTAATTTTTGTATAATATTTTGCCATAATTCTAATATTCTATAAAAATCAGGGAAGACGATCATTATAATTCTGCGAGTATGAGAAGAAATGAAACGAAACAATTCTGAGATTTTAAACTCACATGTTCAACAACGCGATTTCGGAGATCAGCCCATCGTTTACGACCTTCTTCAGTCCATATACTAAAAACTTCTGTCGTTTCAAGGTCTCTTTCATAAATTTCACACAATCCGGACCATTTTATTAGTTCTGGATTTACAAAAAGACGCAGTAGTTCTCTAAAAGATAAAATAAGTAAATAAAAACTGATTGACAAATATTTTTGTCAAAAGAAAACAAATAATACTTGTATGTTGGTATTTCGTCTAGAAGTTTATCAGTAAGCAGCCTGTGGGTCAAATCGGCTTGTTCTGGTTCATGTGGTGCAAGTACAAGATAAAGAACAGCACGTGAAAGAGCGGCATGTCTTTTTTCAGGATCATCTCTGACAGCTGGAGTTTCCAACACCGCTCTATTATGTCTACATAATTCTAAATGCCAACCTTCATGTCGGGCCAATTCCATCATTAGACTGAAATAAAAGAATTTTAATTATTTATAACAATAAATTTCATAGTTTTGTATTCCTTTAGATAATTTGATAATAATATGCTTACTCATAATATTTCAATTTAAGAGTCTGCGTTTCTTCATCATTTTCATCACTAAAGAATTTAACATTAATTTTTTTTGCGATTATTTGAGTACGCATAAAATCTTTTTTTGCTAAACATAATCGCATTTGCTCTAGGATAAGAGATGCTTTCTCCAAACGTGACATACTACCATATGTTTCAACCTAGAACAGGTAGTATATCATAATATTATTGTTTCAATTTAATTATATAATATATTTCTGAAAGATTCATACCTGTAATTCCAGCATAACAGCTGCTGCACCCGAGATGTCTCCATCTTCTTCTTTGATCTTTGCCAAGCGATGAGTAAGCCTTGCTCTTTCAACTTCTACATATATCTTCAACAACAGAACTATATTGACTTTTCACAATGTTTAAAATTACAACTTAAAACAATCACAAGGCTTAAACCCTTTACCTTTCCCTCAGTTACAGCACGCAATGTTTCTATTAATTTAATTTTAGTCTCTTTATCAGGCATTTTATCTACATAGGTGCAACATTCTTGAACCATTTTTGTAACAGCTCGTTTTAACTGAGAACGTCTTTTGGATAACAGAACTATATGTTCATTTAGAAGTGCCCAGTTCTTTGCTTCTAAACAAATTTGAACAATAGCCACAAGGATTCTTGATGTGGATTTCATATCTGCACTCTAAAAAATATTCAACATTATTTTCATTATTTGCATACTTTAACAGATGGTTAGCTAATTACATATAGCATATGTTCAAAAGCTTAACTGTTCGTGTTAATTTTTCCAATGTCAATAATTGATCCAAAGCATCATGTAGCTTTCCTTCACGTGCTAGTTTTTTACAATCTGGAATTTTTGTATCGCAGTTGCTGCTATAATCCACCTCCATTTTCACAATTTTATTACAATTCAATTATCTTGACCTTTATTCAAAAATTATCAATTAAATAATTTAACAGTAAAAGTGCAAATATACTAGAAATATAAAAATATTAATCTTACCTTGACTAAAATAATAACAAATTGTGAATATACTATTACAACGAAACCGACACGGCCAATTCTGGCAAGTAATCGCTCTTTATCTGAAGTTTTATTTGTTTTTCTGTTTATCCTCTTTCCTTTTGGTTTAAATATAGGGAAATTTAGAAATATTTTCTTTATGTATGTTTTTATATGTATAATTCACATAGATATAATATTTGTGTTACTCCACATGACTCAAAACTGATTGTCATCCACCATTTGTAACTAACAAATGGTTGAACTTGAACGAAGTCAAACTCATAGACTTGTAGAGATATATTCCTATAGAGGGCTACTGGCTTAATCTTATGGTCTCAAAACCTCACGCTGCTAGTGAATATGGCGCTACGTGAAAATGGAGAAATATTTCATTCTTTTTTATTTATCGTGAAAATTTATTTATTTTTCTGTAACAATTAAACGTATAAGAAAAATAATGATAATAAAAATAGTTTGATATTGATGTTATACTTGATTCGAACTAAAAATAATTTCTTGTTTCTCCTTAAAGTGTAAGATTATTTTAAAGTTTCGCGCACTTTTTATTCCGTCATTAATATAAATCATAATAAGTGTATGTATACTTGTGGCAAAATTTGAGATTGGTTTTCAATAGTGATGTTTTAATTCAATAAAATTAATATTAAGAATGTCAGTATAAAACAACTTAAGTTTGTGTGTCGAATGTTTACTGCTCCTGTTAATTTTGATAGAGAATTAATATATCATGAATTAGAAGTTCATTTGATATGCCAAAGTAAATATTTACAAATCCTATTAAAAATTATTAAATTTATTAAATAATAACGTCTATTCTGTTAATATATTTACGTTTAACTCAGTGAAACATTAATATTTAATTTGTCATTTAGTTTTGCTTTAATTCTGGACTATTTGGTTATATTTCAATGACACAACCTTTTTTTCTCAACAAACATTTAAAATTGGAATTAAATACAAAATGTCTGAAAAAGAAGGAAATGATGTAACTGTGACTGAAAAATCTGAGGATATGGGTGAGAATTTAACAAATGAAGATGCACCTGCTAGTCTTGAAACAATTCCATCAGAAACACCAGCTCGAAATGGAGTTCAAGTTGCTTCAAAGGATAAAGTAAAAAGTAAGACTTGCTATTTGCAGAAAAGATATAATATTAAATTTAAATTTAACAAATTCATTCCGCTGTAAAATAATTATTTTATTAATATTTAACCAATGTTGCAGTTGATATCTTATTGAAAGCAACTGGAAATGCACCGATAATGAAACAAAAAAAATGGGCTGTCAGTCAAGATTATTGCATTGGCCGTATTTCTGATTTTATCAGAAGATATCTTAAATTAGATTCTAATGAAAAATTGGTAAGTGTAAAGTATCTATTCTAGAATTCATGAAGTTTTCATATAAATGAATATATTCTTTTCTTTGCTAGTTCCTTTATGTAAATCAAACATTTGCACCTGCACCAGATCAGATAGTAAAAAACTTATATGACTGTTATGGTGCAGATGGAAAATTAATACTTCATTATTGTAAAAGTCAAGCTTGGGGTTAACCATATACCTTGAAGTAAAAGTAAAACAATAATCTTATAGATCATCACATAAATATATTATGTGTATTTTAATACTTTCAATAAGTATTTAATGAATATTCCAAATTTAATTATAGATAATGTAATAAATTTATTACAATAAATTTCATAGACCGTTGTGAAATAAGAGATACTGCAAAATATTCTTATTATAATCATAGGAAATAATCTATTTTTATTGTTTATTTCCTTATAATCATAGGAAATAATCTATTTTTATTGTTAATTCTTTTTGTTTCTTTCTTCTCACCTTTTTTTGTTAAAAAGCAAACGATATTACTCAAAAAAGAAAAAAATACTTATAAATAATTTAATATAAATAATTATTATATTATAGTAAATAATTTATTGTAAATGAAATTTATCATTAAATCGTTTTGTACTACAAAAATAAATAATAATATAAGTTTTATATGAACAGTATACAAAATACTTGTACTTGATTATGTGAGTTTTTTATGTAAAATGAAACAATTAGTTATTTAGATATTGTGAGATATTTGATGCTTGTGAATAGTTAGTAAAAGTGTAATACAGTTTATGTAATAATTATTTGTAATTTACTTTAGACACATTATTTGTTACAGATACTGTAGATAATGATTGTAGTGTGTGTTGTTTGTTATCGTCTGTGATCAATGTGTGTTGTTTGTTATCATCTGTGATCGATGTTTTTTTCAAAAAAGGATATTTCCAAAGCATTATAGAACCATCTGCACTTGCCGTGGCAATAAATTTATCATCTGGAGCAAAGACACAACGAGTAATGGCAGCCGCATGTGCGAGGCCTAAACGAATAGTAGTAGCGGTACGATATTCCCATAATTTTACAATAGAATCATCTGATCCAGTGAGAAAATGTTGTCCATCATGACTAATATTAATGGTATTTAAGGTTCCAGTAATTGAACCTTCAATTTCCCGAACCAACGAACCATCCAATGTTTCCCAATAAGCTATTTTGCCATCTGTGCCACATGTTAAAATTTGAATACCGCTAGGAGTGAAACACGTTGCCATATACATTGTGTTTCCACTTAACATGAATTTTCTCGTGAAATTTCTAAAGAAAAAAATAGATAAAATCGATATAATAGTTAATATTTTGAATATTTTGAATAAAATAGATATAATATTAAAAATATAATAAAAATATTTATTTTTTAATCAGATTGCATCTGGTATCCAAATACTTTTGCACGGTAATTTAGATTCAAATTTTGCATAATTAGCAGATTGTTACCTTAAATTCCATAGTATGCATGTACCATCTGTACTAGAACTAATCAAACTTTTATTATCTGGTGAAACATGTAATGATGTTATTGGGCCCCTATGTTCTTTCAGAACTTGCAGTAAATGTCGTAATTCAGATTTTGCATTCCATATTCGCACCTAAGTGAAATTATGTGCTTTAATAAATTGAAATTAGACCCTGGGTTTTAATAAAGGATAAACATTCTAATTTAATAAATTAAATTTTCTATACTTGTCCATCACAACCACCACTAATCAATTTATCATCGTCATTTGTAATGGTAACTGTTGACACACATTTTGTATGAGCTGAATTAATCTCGAATAATAGTTTTCCACCATTCAAAGCAAATCCTTTTATCGTACCATCGTTCCAAGCTTCCTCCAATAAATTAAATTTTTAAATAATGTGCGATACATAAAGTATAATAATCATTACGATATAAACTTACTAGATATTATAGAACCACCATTACTATCAAAACATATGCTGGAACAAGCAAAATTAGGTACGGTAATTCGAAGCAATTCTTTTTGATTTGCCAGTTTCCATATTCGTATATCATTTTTACTAGCCGTTGCAAATATTTCTGAACTATTCCTACAGAAATAATAACATTTTTATACATCTTATTTTCCCTTCGTTTATTTTAAAAAAGACAAATGAAACATTTAAAATCAAAGAGATGATTAATGAAATTATTAAAAATAAAATAATAAGTAAATATAATTTTTATATTTTATCGAGATACATAAAAATAAACTTAATATATATTTAAAAACTATCTTAGTAACTTGCATTAGTAATAAATGCAACAAAATATCACTTGCATCTCCTTGATTCTAGATACCTCAAATAAAAGTGATTTATTAAACGTGGAAACAAGTGATTTACCGTGGAAATGCTAAATCGTATATTGAATTTGTGTGACAAGTGACGATTAAACGCATTTGAAAGCTTGATAATTCAATTTCATAAATCTCACATAGAGCAGTCGCTACTAATATAAAATTATTTTTATACCGGATCAGTGATGTTACCATGGCACATACATTCGCTGTACGGTACTGTGCAATAAAGAATATTATTTTTTAAACTATTGTGCTCATTCTTGAGTCAAGATATAATTTTTTATAAGAATAAGTTAAAAATGCTAACTATTCAGTAGATAAAAATTTCAAATATAAATACAGTTTAAATATTGAAACTGATGCAATTTAAATATCCATGTGCATAGGAAAATATAATGTATATGTCTGTGAGAAATCATACATACTGTTATTATTGCGGGTATTGTTAACGATTTGTTCATCTTATTTACATTAAGTCTCGCGTCTTTTGTTATTTCAATTAATTCGACTGTACCATCGCCAGTACCTACGATTAATTTATCTTTTTCTAAAAGCAACAAATTTTTCACACCACCTGCATACACTTCTACATTAGGTCCATTTGTTTTTGCTACACGCGTTCTCCTACGCGTTGGTATCTTTGAATAACATCCGATCATTACCGGATATTTACTCCCTTCCTCTGATTCATCTATGTTTAATCTATACGAAAGAAACAAAAGTTCTCTGTCATTTTACAAAGAAAGATAATTAATTCTTTCCATATTCTAGAAGTATGAATTTTTCCTTGTAATTATTAGGCAATTGTTTTAGCATTGTGAAACTAACAACCTTGCTTTTATGATATCGCCAGATGTTGTTCCGCAGTAAACATTTTCATCGTTCTCATCTATAACTAAACAATTAATCGAACGTTTAATCTTTCCGACTTTTACATCTGTTCCATATAGCTTTCGATCTTTTGAGCTGATACGCCATAATTTCAGATTATTGTCTCCTCCTGTGATAAAACTTGTTTTGCAAGTGTTAGTTGGTGCGATTATTATAATATTTCCAGATGTTTCACTTCCAGCAAGAGCACCTGTATAATACAAATGATACTCACAAAACTGATGAAAAAAGTTATTAAAGAAAAAGATTGAGGCCTACCACAAAGTGGAGTTCCATTTTCAATATCCCATATTATGATGCGACCATCATCTCTGCCTCCAAGACTAATAAGATATTGTTCACTTTCTGTGAAACATACGTCTTCAACTCTAACTTTGTGCATTTCATAGCTATATTTCATCTTACGATTTTTATAATCCCATATTATAACCATTGCCTTGAAAAAATTATTCGATCGTTTTCAATTAATTTCAAAATTAATGAAATGAATGAACAGCGAATTTTTTATGCGATTATAAAAATGCTAAAGTTATAAACGTATAAAGAATGCATAGTGGCGTAATATCTGTTATAACATTCATCAAGACCTAAATTTTTATATATATATTTTTTTTTATTATACTCATAAAAATAGTTTGCAGAAATATCCGCAATATTTAGTGCATTGTAAGTGAATCACCTTGAAACCATGATGGTTTATTTGTCCAGAAGCTATTAGTTGGCCAGAAGGTGAAATGCATAAAGCGGAAACGAAATTCTTATGGCCAGTAAGAAAGAATTGTTCACTCGTTTTTATATGTTTAATAGTAATTTTGTTGCCCATTGGATACACAAAGTGTTCTTCATCAGGATGTAATCGTAAGCCATTTCTTATTACACCTGCAAAATAATTACTTGATCTTTCATGACAAATGAATAATATTAATGGTTTTATGTTCTTCCAAGTTCTTTTATATTAAAAATTTAACGAATTCTTATTATTATGAAAAAATTATAACTACTAACCGTCAAATGCTATTATTCCAAATATTTCAAGTTCTTCTATGTTCATAATGAAAGATAATACTTTTATTATAATCAACTGATGAACTTGTAAATATACGCGAACTCTTTCTAACAGGATAAGAATTATGTTGTCATAGTAACGACAGGTGTAAGTGTAATAACGAATATCGAAGTACACACCTAACAACTAATTAGAGTGAAATAAATAAAAGATAAGGGGCAAAATTGAAAAGAATTAACGATGAAATTTAAACTATAAACACGAGAAAACATGTTTATAAAGTAGTGAATTTCTGTCTTTTCAAATCTCGTCATTGTTACAGTCGTAATTACATTTTACAATTTGATGGCGTCTTTATCAATAAAGTTGATAAAAATCAGTAATATCGAGAAATTTATTCTTAAAGTCAGTTTAAACTTTTCAAATTTATGAAGTAGCAGTGCCTATGCACGAGCCATTCCTGATTATGTTATAAAAAAATGTTACAAATTCAATAATATACGAAGCCCATTTGAGGTTTGATATTATTGACGGAGGAAAAAATAATCTTACGGATAAAATACAAAATATTTATTACATATTTCTGAAATGTGAGTATTTCAGAACAAGTATCACGAAGGCCCGTAAGAGGTCAGGTTTGTTCTGCTTTCGTCTGTGTGGTCTTCGTCTATATAGAATATTTACTGAGGAGGCACAGATCGCAGCACTTGTATTGTGTTTATATGAGACGCGGTGGATTTTAACGTAACGTATCTCGTGTAAAAATAAAAGTTATCAAGTGTTTCATGATTATGGATTTATTACCGTAAGCAGCATTTTATATTACTGTGTTTTCTACTTTTAATGACAATTTTGCAATATTGATATTACAGTATTGAATAATCTGCATTACTTATTTCTATGTACGAGGAATAAATGCAATGTAACCTAAATGCTCTTCCGTTTAGAGAACATGGTTCAACCTTTTGGAAAACTGGCAGATTAAAAACATTCGAAGATTGGCCTTTTCAATCTTCTGATAATTCATGCAATCCCGAGAAAATGGCTGCTGCTGGTTTTTTTGCTGTAGGTGGTAAAGAAGAGCCTGATTTAGTTGAATGTTTTATCTGCTCCAAACAACTTGATGGTTGGGATCCTGATGATGATCCATGGTATAAATAATTCTTAAGCACTTTATATTATTGTTTTATCAATTTAATATTAATACTGATTAAATTACTTAGTCACAATTACTTTCAGGAAGGAACACATTAAACATCAGTCAAATTGCCCATTTATTAATTTAGGAAAACCTGACGAGACTTTATGGACTATATCTGAATTATTTAATCTCTTCAAAAAATATACAGTGAAAGAATGTGTGAGTATCGTTTTATAAAGTTGGTGAGTTATTTTATAAATGTAATGATTATTTTATAAATATAATGAAACCTATATAAATTTTATAGACACATGAATTAAACAAAGCTATAGCTACAGCAAAAGAAGAAAGCGTAAGACTAGTGGAGCAAATACCTCACATATATATGGAATTAAGAAAGAATACTACAAATCAAAGTTAAGATAGCTTTGGTAAAGTAAAGACTTGTTCTATTCCTTACTTATGTTTCATTATAGTTATGATTTAATTTTTCCGTTTTTTAATAAACATTTTTTACTGGAAGAAATAATGTGGCTTCCACTCGATAAAATCATAACTTTCATCTCTTTCTTTCTTGTTTTCTTTTATTTTTGTTTTCCATTGCATATTATACAATTATACTGTGTTGTATACTCGAAGAAGGAAGAGATAATTCATTTGATAAAGATCTAAGATTAGCAAGAGCAATAAACTGCAGTGTGGGAGAAGTTACAAATGTATTGTGTAAAAGTAATTTGCAGTGTTCATTCTTGTCAAACTTATTTGATTTTATCAGTGACATATTAATCTCCCGATATTAAAGGTAAGAGCAATTTTTTATCAGTGATCTCACGATGATAACGAGAAAGAAAAAGACATCATTTCTTATAGTAACTGTTATTTCGTATATTTTATAAACATTACAGTCTCAATAATAATTTGAGACATCATGAGACATAGTTGATACAAAACAATTACAAAAATCGATGAATCATATTTTGACGATGTTTAGATTAATCCGTGGAAACATCGACATTTTGGAAGACTCGTGAAAAGAGATGCAATTATTTTTTTATAAAATTGGTGCTTAAGTTTCATGAAAAAGATAGTAACACGACGGTGAGTGAACTGTAACAGGTATTTATTATACAAAGTGTTCTGTTTATCTCGTAAAATTGAAATATGTAAAGCATTGAAATTATTAAAAAAATGTTCATATCATGTACTCGTATTTTTGTGAGTGGAATATTGGAGGAGATTCCAAGATATTCATAAACAATATCTCCCAAATCAATAGTTTTTAAATATATGTAGATATAAATAAGTTAATATTTTTTTACAGAGAATGATCAGATAAATCGATTACCGCATTCAGAATGCGATATAATCCCATTTTAAAAAATCAACTTGATCTTGAAAATCTCCTCCATCACTCCACCCATAAAAATATCACATAAACTGCCATTTTGTACCAAACAACTTTTGTAGCAACATTGTTTTTTATAACTTCAATCCTTTATGAGATATTTTCATTTTGTGAGATAAACGGAACATCCATATATCCGAACGAGTATTACGATCACTAATACCTGGTATCACTATTCTATTTTTAAATCTAAGTAGACTTATTAGTAATATAAATTCGAGAATGTATACGTCATGGAGTATCAATTAAATCCTACGAAAAATTGTAAAGTACTCATTTAATACATTTTGTTAACAAAAACAAGTATTATTAAGATATGACGTCGACAAATGATATTTATACTCTTTTTCTCTTTGTCTTTCTCTTCTTCCCTGCCAGCCTTATGTTCATAAATGAGTGTCTTCTTTAATCAGAAAAATACAATCAATCTATCTGTTGATGCCTCTTACCTTCTATGATTCCTCTATGAAATCAAGGTACTTAATACAAAGATATTAACCAAGTAGAGAATATCAAAAATAGATATACAACACGTTGCGCGTTATCATCCCCCTCCAACATTGGGCATACCTTTTTGGTGTCAACTTTTACTAACACGCTCAGCGTCTTATCCACGTTTCCTTTCCCTTTTTGCGTTTAGTGAGGAGCACGTGTACGAGTATAAAATGAATTCGCACGGAGAGCATCGGTTCAGTCAATCGTAACATGTGGTTGAGTTAGGCATAATATACCTGTTACCGTTCCTGTTCATAAATTTTCGTGATTTTCATTTGCAAGATTTATCTTTCCGCTGTATCATACGTGCTAAGTATATAGACTAAAACAAAAACTTGGCCGTTTTATATTTCATTCGATTTTTCGGATCGTTTAGATAATTTATGTTCGACTTTCAAACGTGCAATTTTTTGTGTCTTTCATTAAAATAAATCAATTATCAGAGAATATATTTTCGTTCAGACGATGCTGTCTGCCTGTAAAACGTGTTGTAAGTACCATTTACATTCTTGATTGATTTCCTTGATTTCAAATTGATTTCCTTGATTTAGTCAAAATCGAAATATTTTTTATTGCTACTAAACATATAAATTTTTTAAATTGTAGCTTGAATGAAATTTATCTCCTACAAAGAATAGATTTCGGTAATCCATGCCTCGAACAGGATATCAATTTACCTATTCGATAATTATTCATTCCATGAGATAAAAATTAAGTGTTGCAAATAGGATAAAAAAAAGAATTAATTATTTCAAGTTAATGTTGTTAATAAATTTCTTTCTTAGAGTTGTTTTTAATAAATAAATGACAAGTAGAGAAATATATATAAACCATGTTATCGCGTTAGCATATCATTGCATGTCTATCGATGCAAATTTCTTACATTTACAATAGATATTGCTTAACCAAATAATTTTTTACACAGAAAAATGTCAATGTTATTTCAAAAAAGTTACGAGAAGTTCCGTGATCTGTGTTAGATGAGCGATGAGATCAGAAATAATGATTTGCCTTTATCTTAGGTAATCTATAATCTAGGCGATATATTTGAATTTTTATCATGAATTCCTTGAATTCCTTCGCGCATGTTGCAAAAAAAAAAAAAAGGAACGCAGAAAAAACCAATTGCGTTGCTCTTGAAAGAGAAACTAAGCAAAATCATGCAACGTATAAAATATCGAATGATAGAACGAAAAATTCGCGAATAAAATTGTTGAATGTGAAGTAAAAATAAAGGCCAAAGAATCTAGTTGAAGGGAGATTCTATGTAACATTGATTGGTTTTATGTGAAACAGTAGTCAGAGAAGGTTGACTGATATAAGGAAAATAACTGGCTTCGCATATAAGACAAGATTATAGCAATTAAGACCATTTGGATCTACGAAGAGCGAAATAAGCCAGCAATCGCTTTCTCGTTATCTTTACGGCGAATCAACGATTCTGTCTGCCGATATAATCATTATTGGTAGTTTTTGGCTTTTATGTTTGGATTTTCCGTCTATCATGTTAGATAAGATAAACTTGATGATGCTGTGCCTGCTGGTATTTAAACAAAGAATTGTTATAGAGAGACAAAAATTTTTGTGCGTTATTTCGATTAATAAGAAATGCTCATTAATGACACGAGAGAACATCATGCATTATGCATGCATGTTTTTACATTTTTGCTTCTTATTTTCACTTTTCCTAATTTCCTCCAATTTATCCAGTTATCACCTCGAAAAAAATACTCTTTTCTCTTTTGATTTAATGTTATTCACCTAATGGTCTCTTTCGTATGAATTTCCACTTAACATGCGAACGAGAAACTGCAAACACTTATGTAAAACGTGCCAATGAATAAGGAAAAATTCATTAAATATCCTGTTATGGACAGAATACAATTTGTTAGACACGTGTACACATATAGATATACTATCAATTAAAATAAATCCCATCTAGTAGATAGTATTATTTTAAAATTAAAGGAAAGGTATTACCATTTTCCTTGTATCGCCTATTACTATTTTCCTTGTTTCTCTTTGTTCGATTGGAAATATTTAGGTCGGGTCGTATAAATAATTTCATTTAAAAACACAAAGAATTTCAAATATTTCGAAAATTCCAAAGATATATTTCAAATATATCGTGAAGAATGATAAAGCGGTAGATTGCAAGCAAGAAAGGTAATACAGATAGTATTTAATTATATAAGTAGCACTCTTTTCACGAGCATCGATATATTGTCACAACATACAAATATTTTTTATCATCGTCTTGTCACTCGACGACTTTTTTTAAACCGTTTTGATTAGAGTTCTAATCTGACCTGACTGATAGAATCCTCCCACATATTTTTTCCTAGTTGCGTTCCCCCCTCCTCCTTCTTTTCTTTTCTTTTCTAATAGCCGATATTTTTATTTTGACACAGGATATGCTAATCGCTGGTGACCGCGAATGAAATTTCAATTCTCTATTTGCGAAACGTGTCGTTTCGTAACTTCAGTCCCTACCGATCATAATTACGTACAAAATTAAAAACAGATCACGAATTATCGTTACCGGAATCGTTAAACGCCGGAGTATGACCTTTTGTTTCAAGGATATGTTCGTTTTCGAATTTCTCTCTCTCGTTCTTTCTCGCTCGTTCTTTCTTCTTCAATTCCTCCCTCCTACAATTTGTTGGTTCAACGTCTGCGGTTTACCTTTTTAATAGGCACAAGTCGAAATCAAAATTATGCGCTATACCGAAGTCAGTGATACGTGCAAGGAATCTGACCTTTACCTAGATAAGTTTGTACGGTTCGTTAGACAGCTGCCAATAGGGGAAAGGCTCCGCTACTAATCGTCATTCCTTCCGCGCTGTTAACCTCGGGCTTTCTTCTTTACGACATGACACCGTGAGTTTATTTATTGATGCTATTACCGGTAATAGATGTGTTTATGTGCACACAGGTGGAAGAATACCGCAACGATGGGTATTCGCAATAATGGGATTTTTGGCGCTGTTCAATGCTTACGCGATGAGAGTCTGCTTATCAATCACGATTACCGAGATGGTAGTCCCAATGCATAAAAATGTGACACACGTCGTTGAAAACACTTGCCCGATTACGGATGACGATCGCCAGGAGGGTGAAGATATGAGTCCATCGAACGCGAAGAAGTATGAGTGGAGCGAGACGATGCAGGTAAAGATATACGCGCGTACATACATGTGTACATATGTATGTGTACAATGCCGAGTATAAATATTAACTGTTGATATTTAATATAAATTGAATTTAAGTTTCTCACTACTTCTGTCTTATAGCTGTTTCATTATAAATCTTTTTTTTTTTTTTTTTTTTTTTTTCGCGTCATATGTACTTCACGATATAAAAGTATTAAGCGTAGTGTAAAATATGCTGAAATTTTCCAAATACTGAATTGATTATTCCAAAACTGATATTGATTATCGAAACACATTACTGACAATGATTATCGAAAAATGATACAATTAATTCCAATTGCCCTTGCGATAAAACGTAAATGCGTTGTACAATGTTTTACATACATTTGTTATACATATACATGTGTAATTGTAATATGCATCTGTGATCTTTCTCCAATAGGGTATTATCTTGTCGTCGTTTTACATAGGCTACGTGGTAACACATTTACCCGGCGGGATGTTGTCGGAAAAATTCGGTGGAAAATATTCCCTTGGTTTGGGCATATTGGCGACCGCGGTTTTCACGCTGATTACACCATTGGTCGTGGAATACGGAGAAGCAGTAGGTTTAATTGTCACGCGTGTATTAATGGGCCTCTGCGAAGGGACAACGTTTCCAGCGTTGAACGCAATGCTCGCACAATGGACACCACCGGAGGAAAGATCGAAAATCGGTTCATTGGTATTCGCCGGTGCGCAACTTGGCACGGTGGTTGCCAACTCTTTGTCCGGTGTTATTCTTCACTATTCGACAATGGGATGGCCGGCTGTGTTCTATGTATTTGGTGCTATCGGGATTCTTTGGTTTTTGATATGGCTGGTAACGTGTTACAACAATCCAGACACACATCCATTTATATCTGAAAGAGAACGAAAGTTTCTGCACGAAAGAATGGACGCTCACACGCATAAGAAACCACCTTCGGTGCCATGGAGACACATTCTTAAATCTGTACCGCTTTGGGCGTTAGTAGCGGCGCAAGTTGGTCATGATTGGGGTTTCTTCACCTTGCTCACCGATCTTCCGAAATATATGAGCAGCGTGCTTAAGTATTCGATCAAAAGCAACGGATTCCTTTCTTCTTTGCCCTATTTAACCATGTGGATTTGTAGTCTGGTGACATCCTTTTTAGCCGATTGGATGATCACGAGTGGTATAATGTCGCGTACTAACGTACGCAAATTGGGTACCACCATTGCTTCGCTCGGGCCAGGAGCCTTTATTATAGGCGCATCTTATGCCAAATGTGATAGAACAACTGTTATCATCATGTTTACCGTTGGCACGACATTAATGGGTATGTATATATAGATAATACATGGATAATCGAGGGGCTTATCACAAAAATGTCTTGTCATTTTCAATTTTTTAAATAACAACACATTTTAATTTTCAAAACTGAAAGTCACAACATGGTAGAATTGAATTATAAAAATCAATTTTATGTACATAGTTCTTTTACGATAATTGAGAAATACGATGAATATTTTATTAACAAAAATTGAAATATATTGATCAGAAATTAGAGTCGTTATAAGCTCTTCAAGCGCTTATTTCTTTTGATTTAACTCGACGAGTTCTGCTCCGATTCGATTACAAACTCTATTCGTCCTTTTTTTTTCTTTTTTATTCTAGGAACATTTTATCCAGGAATGAAAGTGAATGCCTTAGATCTAAGTCCAAACTATTCTGGTACCTTAATGGCTCTGGTGAATGGAATAGGCGCTTTTACCGGTATTTTGACACCGTATATCGTTAGCGAATTGACTCCGGATCAAACACTTTCTCAATGGAGACTCGTATTTTGGATTGTTTTTATTGTTTTCGTCGTGACCAATCTGATATTTATATTGTGTGCAAGTGGAGAAGTCGAGTATTGGAATGATCCTGAATTTGTTAGAAGAGACAGGGAAGAGAGGCGGTTGAAGATTGCAAATAAAAAAGCAGAAAAAAATGATAAACCTAAAATATCACCTTAATATGGTTATAAGTTGAGTATGATAAATTTTTCATAATTTCGCGTGACAATCACGTGCTTTGATTCTTTTTAATTTGGACAGAATATACATGAAATACATATTAAATATGTAAGTTTTGTGCATTACACAAGTGATCCGTTAAACTTCAAACGTAAGAAATATGTCCGCGTTGATATTCATGACTATCTTATTATACTCGCTAGATTTTATGTTAATATAGAAAAATTATTCCATTTACTGGAATTTTTATGGAATGCATATTAGAGCCCTCAGTACAACATAATCCGTTTCTTTTTATAAATTGACATTTTTTATTAATTTCTTTTATCACTCTTTATAAATATTGAGTATGACAGTTATGCAATGTTGAGTATGATATAATAATTTCTGCATATTTTTGAATTGAAGAGAAACAAAACAAAATATGGTATGCGAACGAATTGAGTGGCTCCAATATTGCTTTAAATTTTTTAGTAGTTGATATTTTTTCTGTTTTTTTTTTTCTTCCATTTAGTCTAAGTTCGAAACGAATGATAAATCGAACAACTGTGTAGATACATTTATATCAGACATGTTTAACACACGTTAATGAGCGAGAATGAAAAACATTCAGTTATTACGTTACATCGACGTGTTCTCGCGACTAACGAGATTCAGTGTACCTGAAAAATATTGTAACTACGCGTGTTAAAATAGGTGCAAATATCGCTAATGATTGTTTTTGAAACAGATAAGAAAATGAAAAATTATACATATAAACGTTTAAAATAAAACACGTGCGTATACATTTATATATATAATTCGTCTAACAAATTTGCCTTTTTGTTGCAGCAAAAATATATTTTTTGATTACTCATACTTAATATTCAGGATCATGATTTGGAAGATCTTATCACATATTACACATGTCATTAATACAACAATGATGTGACATAAATAAAAAATGAACCTGAACGTTTTATATCAACAAGATGATATGTTTTGTAAAAGTAACAAACTTTGACTTGTCCTTATAAGCAATAATGAGCAAATATAAAATATCTCTAACTTTATGTTTAAACGTAACACATATATAACACAACCGGTTCTTTTTGGTTTTTTTCAATTTATTTTTCTCTTTTTTACAAACATTTTTTACAAGTATCGCATTATTTACAAGTATTTTCATTTTAGTGATTTTTTTTTTAAAAAAACCTACTGATGATTGCAATGTTGGTACTTGAGCGCATTGTACATACATTTCGAAAAGTACGTTTGTCCAATGTATAATGTATAAATCTCTTTGCTAATGTATAATGTATAAAGTATATACATTACAATGATAAAATCGCATATTAGTGGTAGATGGTTCTCTAATTCGAAGGTAACGTCCAAGCATCTGGTATGTCTACTTTTTTCTTCTCGTGTTTTCTTCGTTGACCTCTGCATCTTACTCTATTCGGGCTCCAATCGACATTATCTTGGACATTCCAGGTATTCGATGCCATCGTGTAATCTGTAGATCGCGTATTTTGAATCTGTAAAGATTCCGTTTCACAAATATTTGTAAATATGTAATTCACGTGATAATAGCCCTTTAATGTTGATTCTTCACGGAAAGCTTGCATAGCACACCATACGTGCGAGAGCAAACGGGGAAACCTAGAGAGCCAGTAATCAGTAAACTTATCAGGAATATATCCAAGGTTTTCTTGAGCTTGTGGACTCAATTCTCTATAGTGATGTTTCTGTAACAAACCATGGATATTAATAGTAAAAAGCGAAATTTAAACAATTTCGATCCTTTTAATTAATTTCTATATTCAAACCTTGTTTCGTAATGCCCTTAATAAATCTCGAACGCTTTCACCCCGGTAACTTCTATACTTTCGCAGATCAATTGCAACTTCCACGTCAATAAGTAATCTCCAATCTCCTTGTAATACTTGCTTGCTATCAGACTCTAATGCAATCAAGGCTGGACTGTCGATTTGTTCCTTTTCCACCCGATCGCTCACATCCTATTTCACAAATCTCAGTATAACGATCATAACAATCCAAATATAGAGAGAAAGTACGAAATAATATAAATAGAATACCTGAAAAAATGCAAGAATTGTAGCAGGTTCCCAGAATATTGGGTGATCATGAACCGCCATTACAGGTGGTCTTTCCGATGGGTTACTTGCGATCATTGCTTTTATAAGTATTAACGCTAGTTCTTTGTCATTGTGAGAAATTCCATCATGAAGGGCCGACAAATCACTTTCACCGCCTATGATATATTATGAGAAATTGAGTAATGTTATTTGCATTCAACAAGATAAACAAAAATTAGAAGCAAGTAAAATATTATGTGTATTCTTACAAAGAATGTTGGCTTGCCGCCGTAATGGATCTCCGAATGGATGTTTTCCATCAGAAAGAACGTAATAAAAAACGCAACCAAGAGAAAAGATATCCACAGCACAAGTAGTTCTGTTCCCATTTAACATTTCCGGAGCAATCCAACCATCAGTACCTGTTATACCTGATCTGCGTGAAAAAGACACGCGACCTAGTTGAAGCTTCTTGCACAAACCAAAATCCGATATCATGGCTCTTATTTCTCCGCGTGGTCCCGGGGCTGATAGTAACACATTATGAGGTTTGATGTCTCTATGCACTATCGTTCGGAAATAAAAATAAAATATTATTAAAATAAAATATCGATATACTGCATAATATACTGTATACTACTGTATAATATAGATATACTTATTCTTCTAGCAATTACAAGAAGACAAAAATTTACCGATGTCAAGAAGATGCAGATGGGCTAATCCTGATGTAGCTTGTCGTAGTATACTTTTGGCAGATATTTTTTGTTTATCGTACTTTCCTGCTACATAATCCTGTAAAGTCGCTTCGGCTAGTTCTAATGCAATATATCTGAACATCCTATCTTGTTCGGTGCAGAAATATCGTACAACATTTGCATGCGCGTCTGATTCTCTGAGCAATGCTACTTCTCGGTCAGCAAATGTAAAACAATCCGGTAACAAACGCTTTACAGCTACAGAACGTCCATCGAAACTGCCTCTAAAAATATATATAAAATTTCAATGCCACATATTTTGTGCATCTTAATCAATGAAAAATCACAGTATCTTCGTCTTATATTACTTGTATACAAAAGTTCCCTCGCATCCCTTGCCCAGAACTTGTCCGGTATCAAAAGTTATTTTTCCAACTTTAACCACTCCCTCACCTACATCCTCCGGAACTACGAGTGTGTTTGATCGCGCTCCATAATAATCATTGGTACTACTATTTTCTCGGGAACCCTATAATAGAAATTCCAATGACTAACTGCTGTTTATATTCTCCAATGAAAAAAAAATTCAAAAAATGAACCTGAGAAAACTGTTGAAACTCCTTAAATTGTGCATGTAAGTACCAAAACATTCCTACTATACATCCAATCAATGCGATTAATGTAAACTTTAATCCTTTGTTTTCCTGTTGACTGAACCAATTTTTGCCCATTATGTAAGTATTCTGCATAAACTCGCGCCATGACTCATTATTTGCATTATCGTTAGATTTATCGTCATTTTGTAAGTTGAACAATGATTGTTTTGTAGAATTCAAGTATTGAAGAGGTAATGTTTCAATGACAGGATCGGACCGGCCAGTAATTTGAAGAGGTTGTTGATCTTGTAATTTATATTCAGCGGGTATTTCGTAGTGACCTGTTTTCCAAATAAATTAACAGAACTTGATTAGTAAGTATTTAATCTATGTTAACACAATACATATTTTTTAATCATTATCATTACCTAACGTTATGATTGCCTGATAGCCACTTCCAGTAATAAAATCAGTATTGTCAAAATATGAATTAGACAGAGGAACATTCCCATTGTTATTTTTTTCTAATTGTGGTACTGATAATGGACCTTCAAGCAACAATCTACCAATGTTACTCGATATTGTAGCTGTTGTTGAATCTACGAGAGATGGTAAAGCATATAATCCGTGTCTGTGTTGACCAATATACAATGTTGGACTGCAAAAATAAACAGACATCATAATTTCGCATGAAGTAATATCGACAAAAACTATAAAAATATTACAATTACTAACAATAACTGAATGTCGCTCGGTTTGTTGACGAAACGTTCTAGAAGAAGATTTAAAGTTTGATCTGCGACACTAGTAAAAGGAACTGTTAACAAGCCATCTTCTCTTACGATGTACACTGCTATCACTGGGCTCTGTACATCCAGCTCCCACAGAATAATTCCTAATTTTCTATCTACGGTGACAATCCGTCCAGTCGAACTCGTCGCAAAATGAACCAGGTCTAGAACATAAAGATGCTGTTACAATTGTGTTAATATATTATATATTATAACAACAAAAGAGTTATATATTGGTCGAACCATAATTTTCTATTCCTTCAGGTTCCATTTTTGTAGCAGTATAATCATAAAACGTAACATTCCATTTTCGATTCTTCTGCTTACTATCCACCATCATGATGTTATATTCCGTACGTCCCATAAAAACAGCATTTTGCATTTCTACAGGACAAGTATTTTTTACTTTATCAAATCCTAGAAGCTGTTCTCTTTGTCCAGTTCTAGGATCGATGCCAAACCAAGTGTCGATTTTTCTACCAGTATATAATATTCCATCACTGCTGCGACATGGACTATTTGTCACAAGTTGTGGTATAGTGAATGGTAGTTTCTTTAGAGCTTCAGTTTCTGCTCCAAATACATACAAAGAGCCATCCTTTGGATCTGGTAAAAACATGGGCCTGAAAAAAAGTCAGAGCTTAATAGTACATAAAATATCTACAATATTATAATAAAGAAAATTCTACTGTACTTACATGGAAGTTTTACCAAGATCAACTGGTACCTTGACAATTGGTTCTGCAACAAATGCTTAAAAATGGTTATACTGGTTTGACAAAACTTTTATCCTATGAATTATACCTATTAATAATACCATCGCTTTGCCGCCAGAGCACATTTCCAGAACGTTGTTTTATACCAACCAAGGAACCATCTAGTGTGGAAAATATTAAGAGAGGATCATCTTGCTCTGGTATTAATTCTGTATCTCTCTTTTGTTTGTACTGCAACACATTAATTTTAAATTTATAGAAGAAACTCTTTAAGTATACACATTAGAAGAACTAAAGAAATCAATATACTTGTTTCTCAGGAGGTTTAATATAATCCGATTGTTGTGATCTTTCAGTTTGATCACAGACATTCCCAGTGAAAAGTCCAATGGCCAAAAAGATTAGTACCAGCTCAAATTGCATGATTTGTAAAGTATTTTATATAGTAATTAATAGCTTATATACTAATTCAAATGAATAAACGTTTTAGAACCAATAGGCTGTATGTATAAAATGATAAGATATTCTACTTTTACATCGTTCCCTATAGCAAACGATGATTTTTTTCGTCATCTCGTCCAAGTGTTTTGATAATTTTCAGGAATCTCTTTTAGACGCCCTCCATCAGATTTAATGATACGGGAAATATATCATTACAAAATATACGTGATTAAGGTTATACACATGTTTGAGTATTGTGTAAACTTAACAATGTTTTCTTCAAAAAGCAACAGGAGTCTGTGTCCACTATTTAACATTGCTATTCGTGTACATAAGTATAGTTTGAACGATAATCGTAAACTAAAATGTCACGTGACATATAAATATTTCAAACAAAAAATAATGTATATTTCTCGTTATACACCGTTTGTCTTAAAAGTGATTATGAATGGACTTAAACAATTTTACAACCCATCGCGATCAATTTCAAGAGTGAGGAAAAAAAACACAGAACATCGAATAATTAGACGCAGCAGGCTCAACGATATCGCGCATACATCTAACGTATAGACAACGTCATGGACACGTGGCTCACGTGCATCGCGTAAGATAATGCACGGTAATATCAACGCGCATAATGTGGTAATTGTACGTCTAACAATAAGTATGAAACATTTGCTTATTAATTTACAATTGAATATTCTGTAATTTCCAATTGTATGTAATTACAACGCAAACGCGACAATTTCAGTTTCTAGTTAATTTTGACATTTATGTCTCTATTTACGAAGCTGTCATAACGTTGGTAAATATTGCGCGTAAACACATCTAATAAATATATCTAGATTTTGTAAAATGAAGCGAATAAATAATGATGGAAGTATGAATGATTCTAAGGTATTAAATTCAAGGCGTGTACACAAAAGAAAATACACTTCAACGATATTAATACGTTACTATCGGTGTAAGTGCGATATCTATAGGTGCGTATGTGCGCGCACTCAACATATATCTAGATAAGAACGAAAGTTGAGACATTGAGAATAAACGCGTAGATGTTTCCTCGATTATGTCTGGCATAAAGAAAGATTGAAACGTTAACACGATATCGTGAGGAAATTGTAACATGATCGTCATCGCAAATGTGATCGTTATTTGTGGTGATGCATGTTAAAGGATGTTTACGAATCAACTGATTATCGAACCAGTTCGTTTCAACCATGAGCGCTAAACACAGCCCGAGGAAAATAACATTAGCCATGATAAAAGGTGAGACTAATTTAGATAAGTAGGTAAGACCCGATAAATAAGTATCTATTTTACAGAGTTAACATAAATAGCGATATGACAAAAGGTACTTGATCGATCGTTTGTTTCTCTTTCGGCAAGGTAAACCTATTGCAACTTCAGTTCCTGTAATTCATTACCATGCTAGCGACGACGAATTGGAAGAGATATATCCTAGCACAGACGAGGAGAAGCGATTAACACCCGAGTGCGAAAAGATTTCGTCTAAAGTCACCTCTAGTCCGTCGAGGTGCATCCATGAGTCGGACATTTCTGAGAATAACTCGGAAACGCGATCCGTCAGTGCGGAGAACATTCTGCTGGAAGGTACGCCGCCGTCTCTGGACCCATGGAAAGTGTTCTCCGATATTAAAGGGAAAATCACCAAGACGTTCGAGGAGAAACTGTCTGAAATAAAAAGCGATAAGAAGAAACGACGTAATTCCAAGGCAGAAAGTTCAAGCATCAGTGATTTAGAGGATCAGGGATGCGTTACACCCTGTGACGAAAAGACAGACGATATTCGTAAGAGAGGCAATGCAACCAGATATGTAGGTTTCTCCGAAGTAAAAACTGGCCTGAAAGATAAAAGTTTGCAGGATGAGTCTGTGGAGAGTGGCATCGAAGCTTCTGAATTTTCTCAAAATGTCAGTGAAGATGTTACCTCTTTGGCAAATGACCCATCAAATACGGAACCACCTTGCAACAATAATAATTATACCGTTTTTCCACAACAGAGCTATACTTACTCGGTGGCATTTTCAAAGAAAACAGACTTTAAGACTGTATTTTCACAGTTGATTAAACAGTTAATTTGTCAAGCAACGTATAAATCTATTGCTGCTTTCATTGCCATTTTCTGCATTTATTATGTTATTCCATTAGCAGAGTATTTACTGGGATTTATGATGGGTGTCTTCGTGACTATTACGTTCTATGACATTGTAACAAAATTCAAAAAGATTTTAACCACCATGCCAGATGAGGGGTGTCTTCCTAGTCCACCAATACCTATCTTAGAGATCCCAGCTGTGGAGGAACATGCTGTGGTTGAGAGATATCAAGGTTGGTTAAATGAATTGCCTTATAAGTATGAACCGAATAATTATCATGTGGCACGCACAAAGTCAGTTTTCTTTAGATTGGAGGGAAATATTTTGCGTATTATGGAAACCAGGATGAAAGTACCAAAGAAAGCTGTCTGGGACGAGCCAAAACATAAATTGAAATTCGTTAAAAAAAGAGTTTATAATTTAACTGAAGCAAAGATAGAACTTCTTCCCTGTGGGCTTATCAAAAGAAGAAGATGGAGTAAAAAATATCCAATTTGTATAATCCTCGAAAAGAAAGCGCTAATTTGTAATGTGATCCTGAAGAGTACAACCAATGATGAATGTTCGATAAATAGTTATAAGGTGGACCTAAAAGAGAAAGTTGGATGTAAATTCAATAAAAAATATACAAAAAAATTAGATGGAGACACGCAAGACGAAAATGAAATTTTACTTGTCAATATGGAACACGAGGAGCCGATTGTAAGACAAGAAATCTCCGAGTTTGTAGAAATGGAAGATACAGATGAAGACGACGACGATAATAAAAATTACGATTATGATTCAGCTAGCGATTATTTTGACAACGAATGTGTAAAATATGAAGATTGTTTTGTAAATAGCAAAGAAACAGAGAAATATGAAGAAGAGAAGTTAAAGAAAAAGAAAAAGGATTATAAAGAGCAACAGAAGGAGGAGGATAGAATAAAGGGAGACTTGAAGAAAAGTTACACTTGTACTGTTAAAAAAAGGAGGAAACGAAAAGATGTACCAAGTGAAATAAAAACTAGAAAATCAATCATAACAACATGGAATAAAAAAAAAGATGACTGGGAAGACGATGAGGAAGAAGAGGAGGAGGAAGACGAAGAGGAAACAGAAGATGAAGAGGAAGAGGAAGGAAAGAAAATAACAATGAAGGTAAATGTAGAAAAGGATAACGAGGAGAAGGAAAAAAGTGGACGGAAAGAAAAACAAGAATTAGAAAAATTAGAAGGAGAAGATGGGGAGGCAGCAACTGATAATTATGGCAATTATTGTCATGATAGAGTACATAAAAAGCGAAAAAGAAACAAAAAGAACGAGGAGGAAAATGAAGAAGAGGAGGAAGAAGAAGAGGAAGACGAGTTGGAAGAGGAAGATGAGAGGGAGAGGGAGGAGGATGAGGATGAGGAGCATTGCAACGATGTTGAAGGAAAAAATAAATTAAAAATATTTATTTTTGCTAGAACTGATCGTGAAAAAGAAGATTGGTACAGACGTTTAGTTTTAGCTGCATCTCGGTCCGTCAAAAAGAATGATTCGTTACTGTTCACGATCGATGTATCGTCCAATATATCTAGCTCTCAATCATCAACACAACATAAAATCGTCAGCGCAGAATCAAAAAGCTCTTTTTCAGCTAATAATTCACATGAAACTGTACCTGAGCTTACTTATAATGCTTATATGGCAAAATACATGGATAATAATTGCTCGCCGATGTCAGAAGGTGCAATTTCCACGTCTGCTGAAAGTACACTTTGGATCAATTGTTTAATAGCTCGTATACTTTTTGACGTACGCAAGTGTCCTGAAACTATACATCTTATACAGGATAAAATACAACGCAAGTTATCCAATATAAAACTACCATATTTTATGGAGTGCCTTTTGGTTTCAGAGATAACAATAGGACAGGCAGCTCCTGTTATTCATAGTGTAACAAAACCAGTGATCAATGAAAGAGGTCTCTGGCTCGATTTAGATATAACATACAAAGGTTCTTTGACCATGACTGTTGAAACAAAATTGAATTTGATGAAATTAACAAGAACCGGATCGGTTCCTGATGATACGATTATTTCAACAAAAAAACCAAATGAAATGGTTACTAGATCACCAATTTTTGACAGCGACGTGGAAGATACACCAGAAACATCTACAGAGGATGATTGTGATAATTCTAGAACACAATCGTACAATGTGGCCAAAGAAACAACGTACGTATCAATAGCAATATCAATATATAGTAGTTCTTTTACATTGTTTGTTTCTTGCAGATCTACGCAATCGTCAGGAAGGAAGTTTCTCAGTATGGTCGATAGAATAGCTGCAAATAAATATTTTCAACATGTATGTTTTGATGCATTCTCTTATAATTAATAATATTCAGATCGATATCTCTTGACATTTTTTTTGTATTTTTTCAATTGTCAGGCAACCGAGTTGTCCTACGTTCGAAGAGCTATGGAAGGTGTTTCAAATACGGAGATTCGATTGATGGTCACCGTTTCAAGTATTGAAGGTTGTTTATCATTAAACATTCCACCAGCACCGTCCGATCGTTTATGGTATGGTTTTAAACCGGTACCAAAAGTAAGTCTCACCGTAAAGCCCGCAGTTGGTGAGAGAACAGTTAATATCGTTTACATAACAAAATGGATTGAAACTAAGTTACTCAGGGAATTTGAAAAACTGGTTGTTTTACCAAATATGGACGATCTCATTTTACCGTTGTGTCCTAATTATCCTTATACAACAATGCGGTAGTCACATAAACCAAAAGTATTGATTATCGTGTCGTATTGTACATAATCCATTGATAAATGAACTACCATGTATATCCGCATTTGATTCGTAATTGAAATGTAGATTCGACCAGCAAATGACAAATATATTATCGTTGCAAAATTTCGCGTGTGTACGCTTTTCGGATAGCATTGCTATCGCAATATATTCTTCTTGTATGCGCATTATGATGAATTTCACACCATGTTGAAATTGAACAAAAATGAAGAAACATTTGTGACTATTCCAAAAGCAACGAACACGGATTACGAACAAATCGAGTACTTCCAACGAAGAATTAAAAACAAATTAACAATGACTGAAGTTGTACTAAATGGTAATTAATTTTTGTTTCCTAAACATTGTTTCTTGAGCATCGAATAAAGATATCAATTCGTAATTTTAAAATTTCACACAAATTTTCAATATATCAATTTTTGATCATTTTCTTGGGACCATGCATCGCGTTATTCCTTCGTTGCGGCAATGTGTGAAACTTGCATTGTGCAAAATAAAAAAGGACTTAACATGTAGAAGAAAATTCACGAACTGCTGTTTTTTATTTGTGACAATAGTGTCTCAACGACATCAATGATTATTTTGGAATTAATGGTATCGATGTTTGAAAAGTAATATGAACTCGGTATGAATTTGACAGTAAAAATAAAATGCTTTTTATTTATAAGCATTAACTATGATGCAGGATTGTAAATTGATCATTTCATAATCAAAATTACAAAATATAGAATGATTTAAACGCGTATATTTATCCGTTTTGAGAAACATAGCATAATAATTGTAAATTATTTCTACACTGCGATATACTGACATTTTGTGTGTGTACATATAATGATGTGTCCGTTAAATCAATATTTAATGCAAGTGAACTTATACAAATTGAAATTTTAATCTTGTATGCAATTATAAGTCTAATATATGAAACAAGACCTAGAAAGAAGTATGTGTGTGTGTATTCATAGTCGTTTGAATTTCTAGATTTTTAATTCTTTTACGACAGACTAGATTAAAATCTAAAGTACACGTCTCATTTTTGATAATTGTTATTTTTCAAAGTTGCTTAAAAACTAGGGATGAAAAGTTATAATAAGAGACAAAATCGAAATTGTTACTTGTATTGCTAAAAAATTGTGTATTTCTTCACGATAAAATTTCCACAGAACAATATCACAGTTTGGAGATCGATATTCTTACAGCACAGAATAAGAAAATAAATTATTTACAGGCATTTCGTTAGAACTTGGAAACGCTAACTCTGGAGAACACATGGTGCAGTTTCCAATTCGCGGACTGCCTTCGCCCAAGTTTCTATCCTCGGTGCGCAAACAAGAATAAGATCACCAAGTCTTCGTTTAGCCATTATCACAAACTCGCCTTGTCCATGACGTGCATCGCAGGCAGTTGGCACTCTTACACGAACATTTCTGCGATCATGGGAATCAGTAGTATCTGCATCGTTGTTACTCTGTTTCAAAATCCATCAAAATGAACATTAATTCACAAACATGAGCTTATCAATTTCTTTCAATGAATTTTATAATTTTAATCGTACAGGCTACTATCATACGATAATAATTACATGAAAATATTATGATCTACCTATGTATGCAATTGAAAAAAAGAAAGATACAAGAAGGATGTACCTCTGTTACCTCATTCTCTTCGATTCGACGTAAAATTTTTGTTACTCTAAGAACGAGTTCGGCAGCATCCAAATTCGGTTGTCTCTGGACGGCGCTCACTGTACCTCTGGCTATGAAGTCGCTTTGACAATAAGCCTTGGCCAGTTCATCCATAGAACACGGTCTACAGTCTTCTTCCTCATCGTTAAATCGTCGCGACAATCCCTGCCGACTGTCAATGTATCGTAATTCTAAATCATACTGCAATCTTGCATCATGTTCACCGGACACAAACTCCTCCGCTTCTATGTAAAGCGCTGCTGGCTGTTTCTTCGCGTGAAAACATCTATGCGAAGCTACATCCTTGCCGTCTCTCGGTGAATATATCGACCGAAGTTTGCCACGAGTTTCCAGATATACCCTTATCGGTCCTGAAATCTTGGTACACGTACGAAAACCAGATAATCGAAAAGGGCCATCGTTACCACTCGAATGTGTGTCGTTTCTTGTATAGACGTTGTCTTTCCTTTGGTTCAGCTCGTAATTAACTTTTGATACGAGTCCAGCCAAAACGGGGGGTGAGAGAACAATGCGCAAAGCTCCGCGCGGATACCGCCAAAGTATTGTTCCTCTGGAGCATCGCAGATACACTGGCCGAACACCACGGCCTCCACCTCCGCTGTAACGTAATCAGGCATGGAATTATTTGCGTTCTGATTAAATGTACATCCTCTCACATGTATTATATATTTTAGTACTTTATATTATTATGTATATATACTTCAAAGAAAAATTTAGCTTTATCTCATCTGAATTCTTCTCTTTTAAATTTCTAATTGAAATAGAATTACAACAATAGAAATGGGTCTTTCGCTTTTCACGATGATAATGGTTATTATCGACAATTGCAGTTGGCCACGTAATCGTTCTTTCTTTTTAGTTTGTCTTTTTCTTTCTACTTGTGCATGCATGCATACATAGAGATGTATAAATACACATACATAAGTGCACGTAAGTCACTCGTTCTCCCTTATAGAGGAGAAAGAGATGATAAATCGAATGCTCTAGTCTCATGCGATCTTTCTTAGGTTTGCTTGTGTTTGTTCGTTGGACGAGGAAAACCGGTTTCACCGTAAGTCGGGCGACTGGTTTCGCGAATAAAAGTTTATATGTATATATATATATATGTATGTATGTGTATATATATATATATATTTATTAGATACACATTTTCGTGCCCCGTTATCAAGAAGAATTTAAAAAGATGTACATGAGTGTACAAGTACATAAATGTAAATGAGAAGGTGGAACTCGTAGACTTTTTTTTTTTTTTTTTTTTTTTTTTTTTTGCGAAATTGGAGGGAAAATAATTGCGCGAGTTCGTCACTTCAGAGTAAATCGTTGGAAAGAATATGCGAATGTCAAATAGAAATGTAACCTTTCGTAATATATTAAATCAAATGCGTAGAATTTTTATAAATCAATAGAAATCAAAAAATATAATCAGAACAAAGAATAACTAACCTTCCAATCCAATCGCATTGGTCAGCAGCTTGAAGGGCAACATGCTCATAGGAAGGGGCCGATGACACGATGCTAATGAACATCAGTAAAAATAGCAAAAGCATCAAACAACCTATGAACGTGAGCGTTCTCATTTTTCCGGTTTCTTAACTTCGTCTCGACTAAATTTGTCGAATTTGCATCTCTGCAAAGGCAAGATCTTCCAGTTCGACACTTGTTAAGATTCCAGGCTTGATTTAATTCGTGGTAGTGTATGGTCTCAACATCGTTGGCTCCGTTTATTCTTTTTCTTTTTTTTTTTTTTTTTTTTTTACAACTTCACTGAGAGAAAATGCATGTATAAAATGCGTACGTTTTCCTCGCACATATGTACGTTAAATACGCTAGATGAAAGATCTAGTGTTCTGCTAGGGAAAAAGATTAAACACAAATGCGTATACAGGTGGTCGAGTCGACAGCAGAGTTCTCCTTTCTTCGAAATGTAGATATTTCACTCTCCTAACGTAATTTCATCTCCGTTACGAGAAAGCGCGATGCTTGGATTTTACATTAAGTATCGTTGTTAAGGAAAATACAAATGGCATAACGACGATGGCAGCGGTGGCCTAGCGTTTCAAAGGCACGAAACACATTTGATGGGGAAATATCAGATAAATCGAAAATGTCCTCTCCTTAGGTTCCATTCACTAGCGTAAACTACTTGCTCTTGTTCTTACACTGCGTGTTGTTCGTCGAACGACTGTACGATGATGTAGGCACGAGGAACGAAGTGGAGAAGATTCGAAGGATCATGCTTACTGCCGTCGAATGCGTCGAAAATCGAGGTGTTCGATCACAAGGCAACGTTACAGCACGGTGAGCAACTGAGCAACACGCGACTCTCGAACAGTTTGATCAGCTATGCGTGCCAATACCGTTTACACAACTTGGTACACAACTATTTTCGAACTGTATCGTTTCATTGCACACGCTCGCTCGCTTGCTCGCATGCACGCACGCTCGCTCACTTTCTCTCTAGCCTGACGTTCTTTACCATGCTCGTTAGAGTCCACTTCGACTCGAGTCGACTCGTTTTACCTCGACTCGCTTCGTCTGTTGACTCTCACCCTTCTCTCCTCTCTCTCTCTTGCCTGCCTCATCGAGTGGCTTTGTCATGTTTCTGTTCTCGTTTCGTCTCGTTTTCGCTTCCTTTCGTTTCTATACTTTCCTCCAACGTGACACAAGAACTGCTGATCATATTTGTTACTAAAAGAAATTCATTTTTTCAGCAGATATTATTTCCGTCTAACAGCGCAGTGGCTCGTTTAGAAAATTATACTTTGTCGCTTAAAATCTCCTTATTACTGCAATGAGACACAGCTATTATAATTACAATTTAGTTAAATTTGAACTATAAATAATATTGACTGTTTAAAATATTTTTTATGACCTCCACAAAATATTTTTCAGTTTTTACGTAGATTATTAAAGTTTTAAAATCTGCCAATAGTGTCCAATCATGATAATGCCCGATTTCATTATGCAGCTAACAAACCAAAGGTTTCGTATAATATATAAAAATTTTCTGTGAACATTTTATAAACTGTTTCGAATATTTCATATATGCACGCGTTAAAATACGTAAGAAAATTGCGCAAAATATTCTTGTTCATGCCGGTGTACGTTTAGCACTTTCATTCGTGATGTGCAACAGCTCCTTTTTCATGCAGTTCAATCTGAAAAGGACGAATATTCTCCGTTTCATTCGTCTTCACTTTTGCATTTGCGTTAGCTTGGTTAGCAGATAACGCAACGAGAAGTTATCACTTACGCTTCCGTGCAAAAAGTTTCCCGATCTACGTATCCCTCGACCAATTGAACGGGACAGGGATCGTAAGAACGTATACCCATCATTTTCATAGCAGCTCTATAACCGTCCAATGGCAAAAATTCCGAATCGTGGAAAAGGATATTCTCGAACATTGCATTAAGATGCCTGAGTAAATGAGACGAAAATTAAATATGCATTACAGTTTTTTGAAACACTAACTGCCAAGTAACACACCTTTCCGCCCAAAGTAATCGTGGCTCTTTGAGTCCTGCCCTGAACAATATCAAATCGTCGAGCAATTTATGCAGGTATTGGATAGGGTTCGATGGTTGATGGACAATCACGTGCGAAAGGAGGAAATGGAATATATCGAAAATGTTCCTCTCGTTCAAGTAATTTTGCTCCTCAGACGTTGTACGGGACGCTTTATTCTGTAAAACTGATCTACGATGATCTGATCAAGGAGCATCAACGTGGACGAATTGGACTTACTTCTCTATTGGAGTAACATCGTGCGGACTCTTGCAAAGGGAAGATGCTCGACAATTTTTCATTTTCTCTAACATCGTGCTGAGAATGTTCGACGTTTTCATTCATGTTTCAGCCACTAAGAATTTCAATCGTCACTGACTGAGGTGTCAAATGCGTAATCAGATTTCATACAATTGTAAAAATGAAAATTTTATCATGACACGTGAAATCGAAAACGTAACGCTTTCTTTCGTGCATATGTGTATGACGTTTCAGTCAGCTGTTTATTCACTTGCACAATCTGTAAAATATAATGTATGTGTATATGTAGTGAATATAATAGCCGAATTTCTAATTCTGAAATAAATTTCAAATAAAGTCCCTGAAAAATAAAATATTGTTCTAACCAGTGTTTCAATCTATTGAGTAGAATTGGTAAACCTTTGTACATGCATGTCGTAAATTAAATAAAACACTAAAAAGAAAGCTAAAGATTTAATTTCACGAATGTTGTTGTGAAAGATCACGAACTGATCCATTTAACTAGTTTTTTTACAAATAAAAATTTCTTCAATTTATGGACATTAAAACACTAGCACCACGTAGCGGTGAAATAATGGAACTAATCGTTATTTCCGTCCTTGTTGTACGTAATTGCGTTCCTTGTCTGACACGTGACATATATCCGTCCTTGTCGCACACTACTGTGCTCTTTGTCTACGAAGGTTAAGTGCTGCCATCTGTTGGATTTTTCCATTTTGTCCTTTTAGTTCCAGGTGAAATTGAGAACTCCTCAGATGGCGCCACTATCGATAGACAAGGAGCGCACTAGTGTGCGAGAAGGAGAGCAATAGACTTTAGTTCCACCGATTCATCGCTACGCGGCGCTAGCGTTTCAGTGCCCGTAAATTGATCAAATTTTCATTTGCAAAAAAAGCTAATTTAGAGGATTAATTCATAAACTTTTGTAATTGTATCTTTTTAATTAGATCTTCAGCTTTCTTTCTATATCCAATTTAATCGGTAAAATGCCCAAATAAACATTTTTGTAAATAACTTGCAGATGCAGTTTACCGACAGATGGCGCCACCACATTCAAAATTGGACATTACATACTAATTGCGAAAAAAATTGATTAAGCTGATTAATTTGTGACTAATCTTTATAATTGCGTCCATAATTAGAGCTTTAGCTTTCTTTTTATGTTCCAATTGATTTGTGACTATGATTTGTATAAAAATTTGCAAATTATAATCAATAGTTTAATTTTTTTGCAAACTGCGTTTGATTTAAAATTTGTAAGAGATATCATTATATTTCTGTAAAATTCAGTAAAGTTAATGTATAAAATATTTTTTTGATTGGTTTTATTTTAAAATTACTGTCGCATTTGTAATTGACTCTCTTGAGAAAATCAAGATATCGTTTGGATCAAACATATTGTTTAAGAACTTTATTTAAGAATTACAAAATGATTAATATATAGCATAGGCTTTAATATATGCGAAAGTACTTTATTCTTGCATTAGCTTTCAAGTGAATTATATACAGAAGTTGATAAATGATAAAATTATGTTTCAAATAATAAAACAGTACATTTTTTAATCTTCAGAAGTGTTTTATTCAGAAAATTATAAAACAATAATATAAAATAATATGATAATATAAAAAGTAAATAGTTCAGTATCTAGAGTTATTTTTACATTTTCTTTTATTAGCAAGTTAATAATTTTATATTTTCTTTCTCTTTCCCTTCTCCTTTCTTTCTTTTTTCCTTTCTCTCTCTCTCTCTCTTTCTTCTCAGATTTTGCTAAAATCTACTTAGCAAAATGGCGTTTGGTTTCGATCGAATGGAAAGTGGAACGATGGAATTCGTTTGGCATTACGTTTGATCAGGGCTGGGCTAGAAAATGTACCGAGAACGTGTGCGGTCGGGAATAATTTGACAGGAGTAAATGTTCAGCGGGAGAAAAAGAGAGAAGAGCAAGTTGATGATGCTGCGTGATTCCTATAATTTTCGCAGGGCTTTGTTTTGACAAAATAACAAGTGGGGGTGGGTGTCGGTTTTCACACCCGTGGCTCGGCGGGGCCTCTTTCGGGAATGTAAAAAAAAGGCAGAACACGAAACCGGTTCCGATGAATCTTTGTTATAGGTGCCTGCCCTCGCGCCTCACCTTCATCCATTGCATCTCTGAATAAGGACTAAGTATACCAGTACCGTAACTACCAAACAACGTACCCCTGTTGCTTTAAAAAAAAATTGGAATATCGTTTCCACTTTTATGATCATCTAACTAATATACATAAGACTAAGCTTGTAAAACGGTCTTCCAAAGTCTACGAAAAAGAACCTTCGAAAATTTTCCGATCATCAGAAATTTGCATTTTCGTAAAGATCAAGAAAGAGGACCTTTTTAAATATATTATAATGAATATGTTCCTTCGGATATTCTATATTTTGTATTTCTGCGTGTCGTATGTTTTTTAATTTTTCACTATTGCATAAAAATTCGTGTTGCACTATGACGGTTGTCGTAGTATTAAACATTTATAAGACACAACTGTCGTTTCGAAGGTGTTATAATTTCACATGGAACGTGTCTGTCGTGAAAAAGATGAAAAAGAACGGAGAGGCCAGAAATTGATCGATAAGTTTGACTGTAGTTTGCTAAAAAGGTACTTCTCGAAAGACAAAGAAAGAAACAGAGATCGATAATGGGAGAGAAAGAGAAAGAGCGGTGTTGAGTTGTCGTCGGCAGACTCGCTTTGATCGAGCACTGGATGCACCGGTACACACCTGACTTTTAGCGATAACATTTCGTTCTAAAGATATCGTTATCCCTAATGGGTACACGAAACGCGTTCGAGGAACGGAGAACTGTTATCGCGGCAAACAGTTCGATTTACACACGTTTAATTGAACAAATTCATTCTCGAAAGATAAACACCTGAATTTGATTTGATACAGACATTTACTGAGAAATATATATATATATTATCTAAATTTCTTAATTTCTCGTTCTTTCGCTTTTTCGTGTTTCAATTCCTTCGTTACGAAAGGAACAACATCATTCAAATTGTTCATTTTCAAATGACTTCAAAATAATTTTAGTTTCCAAGTTTTCTTCGATCTTTCGATACGTTTGACAATCATCACACTGTACTATTGACGCATCAAGGTAATAAATATTTTAATTTAGAAAATCTTGTCCTTTGATTCACATGCGTATATAGCCACAAAGTAATTACACATGTCAACGTACAGGTACAATTAGGGCATCGGGCTACTTAATTGCGACTGACCGGCAAGCTGTGCCAGTTCGCCCCCGCCTCCCCCTACACCATCATCGGGTATCTGTGTACATGAAGAGAGAGATACGTTGTCGAGTCGAAGGATTCAACGAGTCGGTAAATTAATAAATTGATGAATGAAGTGGATGCTCTCTAGCTCGGTGTAGTCCGTATTTCATGGTACATACGACGCCTACACAGCCTTTTTATCTTATTCCTATACGTATGTGGCTCTTCTTGAGTAAGCACATTTATGGCGCTTTGATGAAACGTCCTCGGTTCGTTGTGCTCGCACGCGATAATATGGATTGCTCGTAACGTACATCTCTTATTGCACATACAATAGGTGCACGCATACTACGTTAACGTTTCTCTATCGTTCCTACGGATCCACGATGGTATTAATCTTATCTTTGAAAATATTTTCTCTCGTAATCGTCATTGTGACGTTCGTTTGCGATTTTTGCACTCATCCTTATTCTGCTGGATTACATCTTAACGATCTGTAAGAAAGTTAATTAAGTCTCAAATGATTTGGTTTTGTTTGGTTTTCGGTATCAAGATGAGGGTGAATAGGAAGACACGACATCGATTGAAAATTTTGATCATTTGTGTAAATTCGAGCAATAATGATGAACATGATCCACTCTCCGAAAATAGCTTTTCATTAGCAATCTAACTGGGAATATGTTACTGGCGCGGTTGTCAGTTAACTCGATAATTCGATATCGATCTTACAGGAATAAAAGTACTATGTGCGATGTTAAAGGTTGAAAGCTCAGCATGATGCGCACCCCCACAGCGCCTACCATTTTGTCCAATCGGCCTGATTACCGAAACGGCGCCGCGTAAGTGCGAATGCACCACTTTGAAAACCATCGGTAAAGTGATCAGTCTTTCTCTCTGATTTCTCTCTTGTTTCTCCTCGCGTGTTTCATCAATTTATCTATCTCATTTATGTACGTCGGTATTATGTATAGTTACCTAGTAATTTGACGACGTAAATTAGAATTTTCAAAAATCTTTTCGTGGACAATATACATGTTGCTGTAAAATATTGAAATAAATACAAAAAAAAAAAAAAAAAAAAAAAAAAAGGAAATAAAAAAATGAAAAAAAGAAGAGGGGAAAAAAACAACGACCACGTAAAAACCGTGGCCAGCCGGAAACACGGAAATTCACCTTTCCTAATTGCGCGACACGACCCCTCCTGGAAAAATGTTTCCACGTCGTGCGATCGTTGCAAATGCTTTTTTTTTTTTTAGGCAAAACGGAGGAAATTTTTTCTCTTGAAAAATAAAGTAAAAATTGGGGAGGGAGTAAAGAATAGAATGTTGGTGTTTTAAAAGAAGTTTTCTGGGCTAGGAAAATTGTAGTTCTCATCAGTTGTTAAGCCTACCGCACGATGAGTGCAATTTATAATCCTTACAATGGGGCAATCTTAATTTTCATCTGCTTGAAATACAGCGGTTTCGGACAAGCGGTTGCTGTGAATCTTTAAGAGAAACGCAGATGAGCCGAAGATTACAGAAGAAAAATGATTTGCCAGAAATTTCCAATTATAACAAAAATACTCCTAAATTTGAATCTCTAAACCAAAATCTATAGAAGAACACTGATCAATTACCCAATTATTCTTCCAAAAGAGTTATAATTATCCTCTGACAAACCCTTATAATCGATCAATGGATCAATTTCGATATATAACACACATTTTCAACGAGGAGTATATCTTCGAGATAAACACAATTGAAGATTACAAAAGCGAAATATATAGAAATTGTTTTACCAAAAACAAAAGTTTCCTCTGCAAGTCACCTGTACAAATAAGAATCATAAAACATTTTTCAATCAATTATTACCCATCGTTCTTCCAAACAGATAATTATCCTTAGAATAATTCATCGGGTCGCTTGTTGGCAGCGGAGTGGACAGTGCAGGCGAAAAGTTCTTCGCCTAGATTTACGATCTAGCGGATGAAGTCTCAGCCTACGTATGCTCTACGTTCGCAGAAAAGCAAAAGTCGGCTGTGCGTTGTTGATGCACGATACGGTAAGTAAAATATAGACGAGCAGGCGAGGTTGGGCAAGAGAGAGGAACGCGAGCAGGTAGGCGTGTGTGTAACGTATCTATGTACGCTCGTAAATGTTCCCTCTAAAAGCGCGCTGTCTGGTTATTACCGACCACGACCACTTCCGGTTATAAACTACGACCGCACGGTAGCGCAGGTCGGTTTTTCCAGGGCGTTGCGCCCTGTTGTACCGTAAGTTCTCCCTTCTTCTTTCGCCTGTAATTTCTTTCTCGGCAAGAGGCTAGTCTCGAGGACGAACAGGAGGCTGAAAGGGCATCG